CAAAAATTAAATTGAATTGTTGGTTGTGTTTGGCAGCTAAAAACCAGGGTTAGTAGGTTTCTTATTGACTTCCATGTCATATCATTAAAATGCATTTCGATTGATTTTGATAGATTTAGTGAAAGATGGTTCTTTTCATCATTGAGATTTGGTGAAAGATTGCTGCAATATAGTTTTGAGGAGACGACCTGAGGTTTCCTTGTAATCGTATTTATTCATCACTGTGGTAATCTTGCAAATTCTAGATGCATATTATCAAGTTTTGAACTAGCTAAATATATAATAATATTAAATAATCCTCATCACAACTAAATGATGTTGCAATTTGTTAAAGATTTTTCATACCTTGGAATAACGGTTGGACTAGTACGACTTTTTCCACTTGCTTGTCGAAATTGGATAGGATATGTTATGACAATTAAAACATCAGAAACTGAAATAATAATGAAACATGATTTAACTAGGAAATAAAGATTGAATGTTCTTGATGTGCATAAACCGCCAGGCCCGAGAACAGCCACATCATTTTCCAGCTTCCATTAAACGAGTCTAGCATCATATAAAGAAGGAAATCACATATATTACCTCATGCTCAGGCTTGGAAACCAGTCTTCACCAGGGTTCGCTCTTCCAAGAGAAATGGTCACTTGCAGGAGTGGTTGTTGCAGTATTTGTGAACCATCCCCTCGGGGAGCACGAACATGTCCCCTTGCTGCAGTCTTAATTTTCTGCGTCGTGACAAGTAGAGCTGCACTGTGACACAGAATCAGAACGATGCTCATGCCTGAAATCCTTCGCGTAAAAGAAAGATGCAACTCATCACATAAAAGAGCCGGAAACAAGATGCAACTCGTTGCAGAAAAAACGGAACTTATTTCGACAGCTGAATGATACTGCTTTGAATAATTGTAACAGAGCAGTGCAAGCTGGATGGAAACTGGAGCAGAAGCATTGAATTCCCACCTCAGATGGAGAGGGTAAACCTGTAGGCACTCAGCGCACTATCCGGTTAACAAACAAGACAAGCAAAAGGGTTTGTGGTCTCTTCAACCACAGAGAAGCTTCAGTCTGCGACTTCTGCAGATTTCTTTGGTTTAGACAAGAGATACCAGCCCAGACCACAAGCAGCAGCAACTGTCCCAGCAAGTACGGCATAGTTGCGGTTCTCGTCTGTTGAAACACCAGCAGCAGTTGATGATCCTGGAGGTGTGCTGGGCTTCACATCAGCAGCTGGGGTTTGCTCTCCTGGTTTTGGGCCCTGGAAATGAAGATGTTCAGAGTTTGCAACATTAAGATATAGGTATAAAATTATCTTGGCATTGTGTGAAGAAACATTTTACATTACTTGATTGCAAGTAATTGAAGATTTTTCTTAGTCACTTATCTGTTGCTGAATCTAAAAAAATTTGGAAAACTAATATGAATGGCAATACAACTAAGCAATTGCATTCAAGACCCTCCATCCGCTGAGCTTATTTAAAGCAAAGTTTAACAGAACAGGAATATCAACAATGAACAGTAAAAGTCAAGGCTATGAAACCATTGTGAATTTCCTACTTCTACCATGTCATTTCTTTTAGAACAGAAATGCCCATTAATGAGAATAAAAACAAATATCAGAAATACAGAATTCCATTTCCAAGAACTAAAGCAAACCCCAGAACTGAACTGGTGATCATACCTTATGTGCAAGCTTCTCTAACTTCTCTTTCTCCATTTTCTGCAGCAAAAAGGAACTTAATCATTACAGATACATATCACTTTAGGTTGTTTTCCAAGAGGTTAAAAGAATCTTCTGACAATGCAACTATGACGATCTATTGTCGGTTAAGTGAAGATTCACACAAGTAAAGGTTTTTGTTCATTGAGACACAAAAGAACCCTCAAAACTTAAAACTCCTTCAATACCATGAGACATAGATATTTCTTATTTATTAACACACGAAGCATATGGAACTTTAAGCAGTAACAAGATACAAAAATTAAACTTTACACAATCAAAGGAAGATGCAAAAGGTTCTATAGTTAGATGAAAATATACTAGGAATATCCTTCAGTGACACAATGGATGACATCAGTTGCAATTGCATTTAGCCATATTAACTGCAGGTGGTGGCAAAGGCATCCCCCATGAAGTTCCTATTATCACTGTGACAATGGAGAATAAGCATGCAACAAAAGAGCCAATCCATCTAACCTGAGGTCTGCAGAGGATTTTGCTGGAATTTTCTGTTCTTGAGTTAGGTAATCTAGTCTGAAATTAATTCAGGTCAGGCTCACACTGTAGTGCAAAGCAAATCAAGAAAATATGATCTTTTAAGGAAATAGGATCTTTCCAGTCCTGGTAAGACAACAAACAACCATAATCCTCCAATGACCCATCCTCTCACCCCACTCCAAACAAACATCGAAATCCCAGTGTAAGGCAGAAGGTGTTGCTTGATCCCAATATCACAGTCTTAGTCTTTTAGATTTGCATCTTTAAATAATTTTTGGACCTAAAATCATACAAAATCTTCTTCTTATTCTTCTTTTAGTTTTTTTCTTCTCAAAACGAACTAATCAGCTCCAACTCAAACTAACACAACCATGTGCAACTACAAAACTTGATATCATAAAAGAAAAAAAGAGCTCAAGACAAAGTTGCCAGATTAAGTGGGGGTTGATTATCGGAGAAGGATATCGTTGTTGTATTGTATCTTAGTCAATCCAACAAACCTGAATTACATTTTTAAATAATTGGAAGGCAAACATTTTATCATCCAATTCTTTTGCACCCTAGAATGAGTGTGTCCATTGAAAATCCAAAAATCAATATATGATGCGCTGATTCAAAAAGAAAAATTAAATATTAGCAATGCTTTTTTGGTACTATTCCATTTCAAAGCTGCATTGGTGAGGTATGACATATAACACTATCAAAATGAGATTAGTGGCTCCAACTTAGCATCCGTATTGGCCTAGAAGATGCTCTAAACACCCATGTTCTTAATTTGCTTGACCATATTAATATGCACTGATAATTTCTAATCCCTTCATCAACATGTTATTCAAAAATTTATTGCTAATTGTTCTGTTCTTGCAACATCCATGACAACTGCTCTAGATGCATCCAACTAGTGTGCCATCATAGATGAACAATAAAACCTTGAACACGATAAATGCTCATGATTTAGAAAAACGTTTCATGCAGTATATTGACTCTTTGAAACCAAGAAATTCCAGGAAAACCACTTTAGTTCAATGCCTTCACATGAGGATGATAGGTTAAGGGATATTATAAAATGATGCTCATTACACTGTCCAATCTACAATTGTACAAATGTGATACATTTCCATTCAAGTAACTTCAGTGCAACCATCTTCCTCGTTAATTGAATCATAATCATAGGTGTAACATAAGAGGATTGATGGAACATCAGTGAATCTCCGTGTGGATGAAATAATTCCAAGAAACAACAACCAACTAAATACTGCAACATGGAAAAGCTATAGGTGGGGAAAAAAGGGAATGCCAAACATGATGCAAAAATAAGTTTAACAGTTCCACCATTTGAAGGCAAAGTGTTTGATGAAGGCTTATTACATCACGAATATACAACAATGATTTATCAGCATTAAATTTTGAATAACATAGTAATGTAGGACAATAATGGGAATGAAAAACTGAGAAAACCTTGAACAACATTTTTGTGAAAAAGTTAGAAAAACAAGGGAGCATGGAATATGTTCTTGTTAACACTTATACTACAAAAGACAGTTTTATAATCCTTATCTTACAATGCCCAGATATAGCTAGGCAGAGTCCTTAGCTAGATCAATCATCTTCTTTAGAAAAACACTTTTCCATCATAATCCATGCTTTTTCTTCCATTTGCAAAGAAGAAAATTTGAGGGAGCACAGAAGTGAAGATAGGTAGCATCAAGCCACACTTGACATGAACCACAGAAGAAGGTCAAAAGAAGGCTTCCATTCATCAGAAAATTTATAATCATTCATAACTTACCTGCATTCAATCATATCATACATGGACAACCTAAAGCCAATATATTAAAAAAAAAGAAATGCGTGGAAATAAAGCTAGATCTATACATATCAGCTCCAAGCCTCCGACAAAGAAACACCGTGATTCCTTGTCATGGTAATTTCATAGTGGGGCATACAACATTTGCCAATGATTCCAGTGTCACAAAATTTATCCACGTGCACATCGCATAATAGTCTAGTTCGCCACACAAGTTTCAGGCATCCACACCATGCAGCCTCCTATCTTCTTCTTCTTTCCTCCCAAAACTACACAATCTAGTCAAATCTCATCACACTCTCACTTGGCCCTACTCTACACGGATTCATCCACATCAATTCCAACTTCACATTTCATCAGGATATATGATCCATTCATTAAGAATCGATAATGTAAAATACTAATTTAGGGCGCCTAGAAGCAAAAAATCTACTAGAAATTAACCCTAGCAGCAAAAGATCAACAAGAATACAGGAAGAAAGAACCGGGACCAGGGTAATAAGAGGGATCAGATCAAGGCGAGGGGACCTTGATGTAAACGTTCTCCGCCGCCTTCTCCTCCTCGCTGAGCACCTTCCCCCCGGTAGACAGCCTCCGAGCTACGTACCTCGCAGCGATCCTCGCAGCCATGGCGAATCCGAATCCAAGGGTTTCTCGAGCTCAAAGAACGAGCCGATCAGCCCCTCAAAACCAACCTCCGATTCCTTTTATTTCCTCATATACCGAAAGTACCCTTGACGCCACTCACAATCCGACGAACAAAACGAAGCCAAGTGGCGTCCATCAGCGATCCGCTCTAGCCCGGCCCGTTCTTAAGTTAAATCCGGCCCAGCCCGTTAATTGATGACCGGACCCACTGCCCTTTTGTCGGCCACCACAGTCTGTTGGTTCAATAGTGCTTCAATAATATAGAAAGGTTTACGTCATTGTTAACACACTAACCCCGAGTCTACTGCATGTCCTCACGAGAAAGACTAAAAAGATTAAGAGGCCAAAGTAGTGGAGCTCGTGAAACCAGCAACACGGTGGTTGAACGCACCCACCGCTTCCTTCTGTCGCTGAGGAGGACATGGCAACGACTCCACTCCATAATAGAACAGTATATATAAATAAATAAATATTTTTAATTAATTAATTTTACGCATGATTTGCGGCTCCGTCGTCTCCACTAACCGCCACCTAAGGTGGGCTTCCTCTATAAATCTCATTCCTGTTCCCCGTCTACCAGAGTCGGCCACATCAGGCCGTTCGTTCTGTTGGAGATTCGCGCAATCGCATGATCGGTGGCTTGGGTGATAGATACCCTTACTGTCCTTGAAGATTCCCAAACTCGACCAATTTCCTTCTGTTTCCAAGCCTCCTCGCCTCTCTTCTCCTCTCTCCCTTCTTCTTCCACGGATGGGTGAAATGGACGTTGATGGCGAGACCGAGGTTGCCGGAGCGCCGCGTGAGAGGTGCCAGATGCCGCCACCGGAGGAGGACCCTCACCTTCCGCCGGAGTCATTCCAGGTACCCATCGGCGGCGACGGGATCGACTGGACTGACCTCAACGCTGTCTTCGATCGCGACGACTCCACCAAGGGCAGCACCAACCCCAAGTCCGCCAACGCCAATCCTAAGTCGAGATCCATCTCGGAGCGCTCGTCCGCGAGCCTCAAGGCGAAGCCCGCGGTGCTCGGCCTGCCGAGCGCGATCGGGACCCCCGGATTCACCGGACGGGCCTCGAGACGGCAGCGACCGCCCTCCGGTCGGATATTTCCGAAGAAGGGCGCTCGGTCGGGCCGGGAGTCGGCGGCGGATCCGGGCTCGCCGAAGGTGTCGTGCTTCGGGAAGGTCCTCTCGGACAGGGAGAGGAGAAAGCAGGGGAGGAGCTGGCGCTGGGCGAGCTGCTTCGAGGCGATGTGCCGGTTGGGAGACGAGCGGAGGAGGGGATCGCCCCCGTCGGCGGGGAATGCGGGCGGGGCGTTCTTGCCGGTGGAGGCGGGGTTGGGAGCGATGAGGAGGTTCGCCTCGGGGCGGAGGTCGGCGACATGGGGAGAGGAAGAGGCGGAGGAGGGGCAAATGAGGCATCGCCATCTGAAGAGGGCGGTGGCGGAAGTGGAGCACAACGGGAGTGGGGTTGAGTGAGTGTGGGTGTCTGTTGCTTTTCCTAAAAGAATAGCTTGGTGAGCCCGTTATGGGATTGAGGATGTACGAGAATGGATTGTTTTCTCGATTTGTCATTTAAACAGTATATATATATATATATATAAACTTAATGAACTTGTAAAAATACTCGTCAGTTTTTTTTTCTTTCTTTTTTTAAGATAAATGCTATGAAATTTTTATCCCAATAGATAAGACTTCGAACTCTTAATCACCAAATTGTTAACAAAACATTATGAACCTTTAAAATTCTTAACATAAGATAATTAAATCAAATATGCTTTCAGTATACTAATATAGTATAAAGGTTTTAAAATGAGATAAAATATTGGTACAATGATGTTATATCATATCTAAAATCTCATTAAATATATTAAAATAAAATTTTTAAAATGAGGTGATGAGACACATTATATTATACTTCAAATATTGATCCAATGATTATATATCAGATCGGGGTTAATGATTCAAGAACACATCCAAGTACTGACTAACTTTGATTATATATAAAGACTCAGATTTGACATCTTATCTCATATATTTTGAAAAGTATCGACTAACTTTGATAAAGATAAAAGAGAAAGTTCAAATCACATATATACATCTACATCGACTAATAAATTAAATGTAAAGTTTAATAAATGAAGATTTAACCCTCAAACTTGCTAAAACTATTGTGTAGTTCCAATCTAATTTTATATTAGATTATCAGCAACACTCAATAAATAAAACAATAAATATGTTATGAACCCCACCTTTAATGTCAGAGCGACAGAATAATCATCTTCTTTTCCTTCTAAAGACCTTTTATTTATCACTTGGTGACATTAGAACGAGGAAAAAAAAAACTAATGACATGTTCAGATAATTGCTGCTACCATAAATAAATTTCAAGCAAAATTAAAACGTCTGATCATAAATACTACAGTATCAGCACCAGTACTGAGATTATGAAAGCAAGACCAAGAATTCCTGATCAGAGAACCACTACCCTCTGAACAACAAAACCCTAGCTTTGGAATTGCATATTATTTGATTCATTTCAAGCACAACTAAAGGTGTTAACCCAACCACAGACAATCAATAGAGATCACCTTCTTTATGAGTGTGGATGATGCAGTCGGATCTTGGGTAAGAGACACAGGTAAGAAGATAACCCTTGGCCATCTGTGATTCGTCAAGGAAGGATCCATCGGACTGATCAACGTTACCAGACACCATCTGACCAGCACACGTAGAACATGCTCCGGCACGGCAAGAGTAAGGAAGGTCTACGCCTGCAGCCTCAGCTGCGTCCAGAATGTAGGTATCGTCTGGAGCTTCAAATTCATGTTCCTGCCCCTCTGGGTCGATTAGTTTCACCGTGTAGACCGCCATGGCCGATGCCCTGAAGCAGTTTGATATCTTCAAGTTTGATGCTTTTGAGATGCACTTCAAGGAGCTCAACGAGGATGGGCTCTTGATCAGTGGAGAAGAGGGCTGGCACTTAATGCTGCTTGTCAGAACGCAGGATGAGGAGAGAGAAACAATCGACATTGTGCCAGCTGAAGATGCCACAGAACAGTTCCTGTTAGAACCCATCCAGGAAGAAATTTCCATATAAACTGTTGCTCAAGTAGAAGAGAAATCTCCCCAATGCATCACCAATAGAATGGATTTGAAGGGACTTGTGAATAACAATCATTTAATATATTTGTCTAAGGAATGCCAGCATTTTTATCCTTTATCTTCTTTTTCCATGCCAAACCCTACTAGTAAAGTGATAAGGCCATTTAAGATGTACAAACAAACCAATCAAGAATACCCGTAGATTAGAGAGAAGAAAAACACAAACACATGATACTGTGGACAAACTCTATTAGTTACTAGTTAGACCGATTTCCAAATTATATAAGTAGCAAAAGTTCTCCAACTCTTCAATCTATCTCACTGCACACGTATCTCAAGTGATTGTTTATGGTCCAGTGTGTCACCCTATGCAAAATATCAGACATGCAACATTATTAGCCAATGCTGGAGTTCACATGTATAAAGAAAAGAAGAGGCAAGTACAGCTATACCTCCTCGCTGGTATGAGAGTTAAGGACAGCTATAAATAAAACAGGCAAACACCAACCATTAACTAAATCCCTTCTATACATAAAATAATCAATTAACTAAGTCCCCAACTGTGAAAAAAGTGACAGATTGTTTCTGGATTTGGATTGATAGTTCATAAAAACAAGCCGATTCAACGCATAAAAGGATTTAGAACTAGATATACAACATGGATAGCAAAATTCTGATAGAGATACTCTGGAAAATTAAATAATAGTAAATTTTTTATCAGTTGCCGCTTGGATTCATATGTTCAGTAGAAATATTTGCCTAAGATGATTCTTCAAGTATATGATCATCAACAATCTAGCAATGACTGTAACTCTGTGTGTGCTTGTCTGCATGTGCATAAAAGAATAACAATGGATTCAACATAAAAAAGTCAGCCAATGTAACCGTTGTACACCGGTTTTAATGGGAGAATGGTTAATATCCCTAGAAGGCTAGAAGTGACTAGTTAAATCACTATAAAAAAGAATCAGATATAAACATGACTATGCCCAGCTCAAATCTAAATAAATCACAGCAATAAGTCTATATCATTCCTTCAAATAGCTAGCAAACAAGAATTCTAATTTTTCTTTTACAATCTTAGATGCAACTTGAATTGCTAAATGATCCCTAAACCATACAATTCAATATATATCGTAATAATATAGCTACAAAATAACAAAATATTGTATGCCTAAAAGAAGTTTGATGAAGAACTTACAAACTGCACATACTAATTCACATACTGTAGCATCATACAGTAACGATATGTTAGTCATACAATTGTGCCTATGGAAAGTGCACCAATGGTCAAGGATGGTAGCATAGTCTAAACCTTTATATTTTCTTGATATTGAAATTTAGGGATGAAGCACTTCCACATTCAGTTGCTTGCATTACTGCTACAAGTTCATCAGACAAGGATCTGCTGCCAAGAATATATAAATACATGTATATATATCTATATGATGCCATTGCGAAGATAGTAGTATCTTTCAATTATTAATTTTTTGTTGGATGGTGGTGTTGGATGCTGCAGCAAGACCTGCAACTACCATTCTGACATTATTATCTTACCTAGCCAGCAAGACATTGTACCAGACTGAACACCAGAATGCTGTCATCGTCACCAATTATTACCTTGTCACAACCAATGGAAGTACAAAACATAAGTTGAACATCACCTTAACTCCTTAAGCTTTTTAATATTTGATGTTAACCATTAAAGCCTCATTTAGGATGAATTATGTTAAAAGTCATCTTTGACTTGGTGAAAGTATTGTTAAAAGTCATCTTTTGACTTGATAAAAGAGGTTGTAGCCACTTTTCTGATTAATGGCTACAAATTAGGTACTATTAAGGGCTAGTTAGGGCTGTTTAGATTAGTGGGCTACATGTGATCTCTCTTTCTTTGGTGTACACAAACTATAAACAGAGAGGAGCTCTCTTGAGAAGTGTGTCGAGTAGAGGCAGAAGTAGCCGAGAGTTTGAGAGGCTAGTGAAGGCTAAGTGTTTTTTCACACTTGTAATTTTTCTCTTTATAGTGAAGATATGCAGCGATTCCATGGATATAGCCCAGTTTGGGTGTACCACGTAAATCTTTGTCTTTATCTGTGTTTTATTTTTTTGTCTCTATAGTGAAGATCTGCAATGGTTCCATGGACATAGCCCAGTTTGGGTGAACCACGTAAACTCTGTGTCTTTATCTGTGTTTTATTTTTCCTGCCTTCTTTGAATCTGGTATCAGGAGATATGTTTTTTTCTCCTAACAAATTAGAATTAACTTAGACAACACTACTCTGATAAAGTTAAGAACAACCTAGTAAACTTTAGAACATAGGTTTAAAAACTGACTGCTTATCTGACCAGAAACCAATACTCAGATTAAGATAAATTTTTAGTCTTGACAGCTTGGTTCCCCTTTTTAGTCTTCAATCCGATCCTTCCTCTCTTCCTCTCCTGATTCTCTCCTCCACTTCTCCTCTCTCTTCCCCCCTGGACCGGTATACATACTGTGTCGGTATGCCAGCATATACTGGGTCCAGGTATGGGTCCGTTATTGAGATTCAAAACTACGCTTTCAAACACCAAAGAAATCACTCAGACATGACATGATATAAGTAGCCAAATAGTATCAAGCTAGCTTTTGTTCTTTATGTCATTAAAGATTCAATCAATTAATGAAGCCGATCACAAGAGAACAATAGAGATGCGTACACTAAGAACCGCATCTCTCTAAAAACCATACCTTAACAATCTAATCATGAGATTAGGAATCTCTTAAGACAGCATACGATCTCTCAAAACAAAATCATTCGCCATCAAACCTCTAAACCACCAAATAATTATTCACTTATCACAGAAATGAAATCCCCAAACACTTACACCGCGAGCATATGGTACGATCAAAACCAACATCAAGTTTCAATGCATCCATAGAAACGAAACGAGAAAGAGGGCAAAGTAAGCAAGAACCATTTCCTATTACAGATTTATGCATATCTATCAAGATCTAATGGGTGTTCGACAAGAACAAGCAACACGGTCGTAAATCCAGAGTAAAGAAAGAAACAAATCAATGAATAGACTAAATCAAGACAAAGACAAGAGGGAGGGAGATCGATAACCGGCGTCAATAATAGATCAGACGCCACAAAAACGAAATCTTTCGATACCTGAGGAGGATGACGGCAGGATCTGGCGATGCACCAGGAGAGGGCGGAGGCGCCGAGGCGAGACCGGTGCTTCTATACTCTAGTGGGAGGAGCCATCGCAGGTGGTGTTGGGCCCTATTTAAGTAGTCCAAAACATGTGAACCTTGTCGCGAGCCCGCTGTCGAGCCGCCCTCATGGAATGAGACGGAAAGGGGCGCGAACCATGGGATTAGGATCCTCTCCAATTAGTAGGTTATCGTCATAACTTGAATCAACGGCGTTCCAAGTGGGACCCACGTAAAACGGACGGTCGGATTTTGGAATTGGACGCCGTAATGAGAAGTAGGTTCTGTAGTGTATGGTGACAGGGATCGGTCCCGGGCTGCCGACCTCTCCCCGGAAGGCCCAACCAGAACAAAACGGTTGGTGGCGATGGTGACTCTAAATGGTTATACGTTTATTACGATTTGCTATTGCCGTGGTACCCACAAGGCTTTGACGAATAGTATGTCAGGTAGGTGGGCTGGTAAGCTGAATGGACTCGACGTGTTCAAGGCCAACGCAGCCACGTGATCATTCATCGGCGGGACCCACCTGAACGGACGGCTACGTTGTGGAATTGTATGCTCTAAAAAGAAGAAGGTTGTGACGTGGATCCAAATCGGCATTGATGCCGGGCCTCCGAGCGCCCCTCCCGAAGTCTAAACCAACTGGCATACCTGTATAGCGATTGGCTGCTGAGATGGTGCCCACAAGTCTTATTTCCAATTACATGTCAAAGATGTCTTACGCGAACCCAAATCATGAGACGTTGACGTGGCGGCTTCGGGTCAAAGATCGACATGTTTAATTAGGCTTTTCTTCTGATTAAAGTTGGGTAGATTTAGACATGATTTAATAAACATTTTGGATCTTAATTAAAAGCTTGAGTAGTTCAACGAATATATTTAGCTATGTTTCTTCACTAAGATATTTAATTCAAATTTAAAGAAAGAGCGTAAAAAAGAATAATTAATAAGTGACTAGAATCGTGTTTCCAAGTATCAAAACCAACAAAAATAATACCATTTTATGATACTTCTAATAAAACATCATTTTTAGATGTTCCAATTTATTTAATTAATTTATTTTTGGTTTATAATTATGCAGCAACAATCATGCCACTTTAGATGTTATGTAGAGAATATGGTTAATAAACTCAGATGGTGCTCGAAAAAAATTTGGAAATCCTTATGATAGGTTTTTTTGGAATATGGTTAATAAAAATAATATTTTTATGACTGATTTTAAAAAGATGAGATAAGAAATAAAAAATGTAGATTTTTTTGTCAAAAAAAGAATCCAAACCTCCATATGATAGAATTTTATTATTTTAATAAAACCATAAATTAAGGTTCATCATTTTTGACAGCTGTGGGATTTGAACCCACGCCCTTTCGGACCAGAGCCTAAATCTGGCGCCTTAGACCACTCGGCCAAACTGTCTTAATTAACAGTAGTGGCATTTTAATTTAATATATACTATATTATTCTCCGTGATTTTGGAGCTGGAAAGTTCCACAAGGTCACGAAGTTTGTGAAGGATCGTCTACAATTACTGCACCGAACGCACCTCTGTCAGCTGTTGCCATTTAGAACGACTGATCCCAACCATACAGATGGCAGTGTCCTAACACCAGTGACCGGTCGACGCGTCAGAAGTGGAAGATTCCAGGTCTCGGTAGCGTTGGAGAAGATCCCTGTCTCGAAGACCTCAATCCTCAAGTGTACCGGACCTATATCCACCCAGCAGGAGTTCTCGCCGGTAATCTGCAGCGTGTGACGCCGCCCCGACGAAGCCAGCGGCGATTGCAATGTCCAGATACGCGTTGCGGCGCATGGCGCCGTTACTTCACGGCCGGATGCAGCTTCGACGGCACCAGATGTCGCTGAGCTCCGCTGCGGAGGAACCCTTGCCTGACGCCGTCCACATGACGGGGAATTGCATCCGAGTACCCTTCCCCTCTCCCCCCCTCGTTCGATACGATTAGATTGTCTGCTATTGTTCTTATTAGGTTTCTGATTCCTCTTTTCCCCCCTTAGTGGTGCAATCTTTCTCGGTGATCAGCTGCAATTAGGGCTCCTAATTGACTGCTATAAGCAATAGGTCATCGAAATGTGAATTGGGATTTTGAGGCCACGATAATTTGATCTTAATATGTAGTTGATAGATTTGAATTCAAATGCTTGGCCTGTTTGCATTTTTTTCTTCTGGTTGATGATGATATCATTTGTTTGCAGAGATTGAAGGAGTTGCATACGAAAGATTCGTCGAACGAAGGCAAGATGCTGCGATTGGGCGTGGAAACTGGTGGATGCTCTGGGTTCCAGTATGTCTTTTGCATGGATGACAAGAAAAACGCAGATGATAGGTTGGAGATAGCTTGTTTGCTTAGAATCCATGACATTATGCTTCTTGATGTGATGGGCCTGTTTCTATGTTGTGTAATTTCTCGGTCGTTCTATATAGGGTTTTTGAGAAGGATGGTGTGAAGTTGGTGGTGGACAACATCTCCTATGACTTTGTCAAAGGTTCCACTGTTGATTATGTCGAGGAATTGATCCGTTCAGCATTCCAGGTAGGCTTCTTCTTTCATCAGCAATTGTATAAGTAATGCAGAGTAGGTCAGATGATAAAGCTTTTTATGTTGGATTCATGTGCCAGTCATGCATGGCACAGTTTCTCTTGCTCAGAGAATAGGTCCATTGGCTTTGTTAGGAGTTGAGAGATTGAGGAAGATTTACATACCGAACATACAAGGATTACAGCCAGTATGAATTTTTACCTCTATAAATTGTAAGAAGATTGAAATGGAGTTTCAGTTGATAGCAAAATCTATATTTTTTAGAGAAGATGGTGGCTTACGAACAAATACTCAATTTTGAATATATAAATTGATCTTACATATATTAATTGACAGAAAACTATGACACCCGTTATTAGGAGAAATGGACCCTCAAAAATTGGGTTTGCATGGACAGATATAGTGGTGCTTCAAATATGAAAGTCAAAGATGGTTATGAACATACCATTAATTTATCAAATCAAAGGACAACCAACCATTATGGTAGTGAAAGAATGCCATCATAGCTAGCCACCAAAGACGAACTAGTATAGAATTCCTCCTCCGAATGGCCATTCTTCATTTGTTTCCTTGCTGAACCAAAACTTGGCTGCACTACCAGTCTTGATTCTGTATCTGTGAGCCTTTACCTCATTTCACCAACTTGATTAAATTTGCATGTAAACTTGAACTGCATCAATGCTTTTACTGCTTAGATCATACACTCAAGCTTACTCAGTGGATGTGGTCTTCAATCAAATATGATCGTTTGGGTGTCAATGATGAAGTGTTCCTCCACTGTTCTATGAGATTTTACTGTTGGTCAGTAAAAAAAACATTTTTTTTCATGCATTAGATCCCGGTGTCAAGGTCCTCTTCAAGATGTGTCTCTGAGTGTGATAACATATGTTTGCTACCAAACAGATCCATTGTCAAAGTTCTGTTCAAGATGTGTCTCCGAGTGTGATAACGGATGTGTGCTACCAAATGAGACTTCATACCGATTTTGTGGGGAGTAACTAGAATTATCTTTAAAGAGAAGCATGGCTAGGTTCCTCACTTTCTATTACATATGTAACACGTCATGTTTCTTACAAAGGATGGACCCTTATTTAAGTCTTGCAGACCAATCATGTGGTCAAATAAAACAAAAATAACGACATGTAGGTTTAGTGTGTAACATCTAAAGGTGCTTTCAAATGGGAGAATGCATGTAACAAGCACTGCTGTCAAAGTTTACCCTATTGAACTTTCTCTAGTTGTTTTCCACCTCTTGCAGCATAACTTCACAGAATAGCGGTTGACGAAACTGTATTTGCAGGTGGTAACAAATCCAAGTGCAGTGGGGGGGTGCAGTTGTAAAAGCTCCTTTATGGTCAAATGACTGGCGTTCCTCGAAGTTCCAGTGATCGAGCACATTATTTAGGACATGGGTGGTACCATATGCACCCTCCAAATATGAAGACTACTTGTTCATGGTCATTACAAATTTTGGTTTTCATTCTTTTCTTTGATAACTGATCTCGAATATTACTGAGCAGTCAACAACATATACTGGTCTATTTTTGTGATATATGTTTGCAGACAGTAGAGCTGTATGTATCTGATGCATATGGCACTGTTTACTTTGTTTTTGTTGTAATAAGTCTGTGGTTCCAACACCCATTCTGCAATACAATATCCACCGTCCACTTTAAAATGTGTTTTATCGGGCTAATCTTTCCTTTGTATCCGTTGATCCGATTGGATTGGTTAACAAGGTTTTGCCTATAAATTCCCTGTCGGTTCGTTCAACTTGATCCCAAGACTCCTATATGCATATTTGTTTATATGCTGGAAGATACCAAGTTAGTATTATGTGCCTTTATAATGCTCAGAGTGTCAAAAGTTTGCACTATTGTATTCCCTCCTCTTCTTTCTCTTCTTGAATGGTTTGTGGTTTAATATTTGAATTATTTTTTCTGCTACTTTTTAGGACCACTTCTCAATATAATATGGATTTTTTTATTTTTATATTTTTAATTTACTATGGAATTTGGTCATGATGATACTAATGCTGATTAATGCTAATATTTCTCGCCATTCCACATATTTGATGGAACATAAGTAGTTGTAGCGAGGATTCGAACCATCATCGAGATCGAATAATAACTTGTAGCTGAGCAGTTCAAAGAAGCCCAAATAAAAACTCAGAAGAAATGCCGAGAATTTTTATGGCACTATACAAGCCATTGATTATTCTTCGATCCACTTAATATATCTGGTCCGCCACCGACTCACAAATAGAGCAGAGAAGCTGCGGGAAGAAATCGAAGGTACACATGGACATCTCGATCTTTTCTTTTGTTTGATTGTTGATTTGTTTATTTGCCTTCCCAACGCTGATTCTTCTTGTTGTGAATTGGTTCGTCGAGTGGCTAGTGGGATTTCCTCTCTCAAACTGACTAGGGCTTTGGTTGATCGCTTGGGATGATTTGGCTCTTATGATTGTTTGAATCCATTGCGTTCTTGGATTCTGTGTTTCTTGTGGGTTTAGTTCTTCGATCTCGTTCGGGAGACGCGCCGGATCTGCATCCCTTTAACATAGTTCTTAGCAACCCGACTAGCCAATAGTACTGATCGAGTGAATCGAACTGTGCTGATAAGGAGGGAAGTTTATTGTGATCTCAAGTCAGGATGATAGGTTTAGATGTTAGCTGTTGATTTCATCAGTTGCGCTTGCTTGATTCTACTGTTTGGTAGTATTGCTTTTCCTCTGCTGTCCATTTTACTTGCCCTGATTATCTTATGCTGATTGTGCAGGAAAAAGATATTTCACAGGAATTAGAATCTTGGTTTCTCTGATAGACATCACGAGTGATTCAACAGCAATGACCATCGAGTTCCTTCGTGCTCGATTGTTTTCTGAGAGGACTGTTTCTAAAGCTGCAAATGGAAGAGCTAATCAACCGGCCAAAAGGGTTAGTCGTAATTTCTGTTATATTTTCTCGCGGTTGATTTGTTTTTTGTGTTTGGTAATGTTTTCTGTTCAGGTGATGGAGCTCAAATCAGGTATGTCTTCCTTGTACCAGAGATTCAATTCTGGCTACCAAGTCATAGTGCTTTCAAATATTCCTTAAAAACCATAGTCATATATCCGTGGTGTGAATTAGGAAATTTGCTGGAACTCATAGCAGTCTATTAATTAGCACTTATAAAAAAAAAAGTCTATTGATTAGCACTTGTTACATATTTGCTGTTGCTTTGTCTAGTCCATTTTGCACCTGCAGATTGATATGTTGATACTACTGCTTGCAATAATATGCCAGAAAATGTGAATTAACTCTTTGAAACATGCTTCCTTGTGATTCATAAGGCATGTTTTAGAATTAGAAGCCTGATCTCGTCCACATGCACTGGATTTTTGCATAGAAATTGGTCTTTCTAAGGACATTTTCTTTATTCTCTTGTACCAAATCAGTTCAAGCCCACTTTTACTAGTGCTTTCTCCATCCAATTTAACTCTGATGGTGGCTCTAGTAACCATGGATGTTTATGTGCACATATCCATGTGAATTCATAATAATTGGAAGCACTTTTGCTAGTTCTGAAAGATTTTTAAATGGGAATTAACAGGCACTTAAGATCACATTCAATGTGAAACTATCTCATTCATCTGGCAATGTGAAACTATCTCATTCAATATGAAACTATCACATTCAATGTTGGTAGACATGAAACATGTTTTAGTGTATCGTTTCGATAGTTGGTAAACAAGACAACAAATATCATTTACACTTTTGCTCAAACATTTTGGTATCAGTTGAGCGGAATTTAGTTCTTTCAGACATAGGGAATGCCTCATTTTTTAAGGAATCTGAAGTCTGCATTGAACAGGGGCATGCGTGTCTTGCTGATGTGATTGTGCTTTTGGATGAGCCAATACATTCTTCGTGCAGGTTTGACCTCTTAAAAGACCTTGTTTTATTATCTCTTTGAGATTTGACTTCCGATTGGTATTCAGAAACAATTTCGCTTCTCTTATAAAATAATTCCAATAGAAAATAATTTGACTATAACACAGGGGTTAATTAATGTTATTAATATAATGATAACGCACCGGCAAATGCTGCCGTGGGCAGCTGTTGGTCCAAAGTGGCCACCCACAGTCCGGTGCAAGTTGTTTCCCGGAGAAAAAGCATTTCCAAAGGCAGGCAAGTGCAGGCCAGAAAAGGCCAAGTTGAGGACATTGGCGTGATCTCTGTTCACTGTCACAGCAAATCAAACCACTTCCTTGCTGCTATCTTTCTTTTCTTTTTTAAAATAAAATTATATACATATTGTTCATACATGTACATATATTATATAAGTTTATTGCAGAACCTAGAAAATTTGTATATATATATATATCCATCTCATTGTTGAACTAAAAATATCATATTACAACTTCCTTAAAGGCAAAAGAAGATTCATTCATCTGAACCAAATAGGTAGAATGTTGTACCTTATTATTGTTGTTTGTTGATAAAAAGCCATTGTTTTCTTTTTTGTTTTATAAAGAAAAATTATTTACATATCCTTCAAAAAAATACAATTAATTTTTCTTTTTAGATTTAGGCTTTAGCATGCATATATATATATATACATACACATATAGAACCTAGATTATATATATACACATATATTTATATGCAATTGATTGTTGAATGAATAAAATATTATGACCTGTTGTTGTTATGCTTAGTTGACAATTTTGCTAATGTTGATCATAATAAAACCTAATTAATTTGAGTGTTTATGATGGAGGAATGGAGACATGTATGTTATACTGAAATTTATATTTGGGGATTTATGATATTTCCAAATATGCAAAGCTACCTTTCTTTATTTTGTTTCCTTTTGCTATAGTTTTGTGTCCCCTCTTTTGCACACCCTTCTTCCTGACGTCCATTGATGCCATCATTCCACTTCTTCTTTGTCCCCGCGCACAACGCCCCGCCCCACCACCGCCTCCCGCCCCCTTCTCTCTCTCTCTCTCTCTCCTTTCTTTGCATTTCTTCTACAGAAGTGGATAGATATTAGAAGATGACAATAGACCATCAAATTTGATTCTCCTCTGCGTATGACGCGATCTGATGGCTACTACATCCACCGATATCCCCGAACCCCCTTCCCACAGCAAGAGCGCCCACCGTGGCAGCTTCCGCGCCCCCGGCGTCACCGCTGAACCTTGTTTCTTGATTCCAGATTTGCTTTCAAACAAGGACGACTTGGTCGTCCAAGAACCCACCGGGTTCTTGGGCCCCGCCCCTCCGTCCTCTGACGCGAGGGACGAGCGGTTGAGCTTCGTGACCGCCAGGATCAGCGACGCCACCGCCGGGAGCGTCGGGGCCTGCTCCAAGATCAGTGACGTGGGTGGGTTCTTGGGCGCCGCCCCCCCGTCCTCCTCTGACGCGAGGGACGACCGGTTGAGCTTCGTGACCGCCAGGACCAGTGACGCCACCGCCGCGAGCGTCGGGGCCTGCTCCAAGATCAGTGACGTCGCCGGCGACGGCAGCCGGAGGAGCCGCGGCTCGAGCAGCGACGGCAATGCGGATGATGAGTGCAGCAGCAGTAGCAGCAGCAGCAACTGTAGCGCATGGAGCACCTCCTGGAGGAGCAGCAGCGGGTCCGGTGGCGGCCGCGGGAACAAGCCGCACCAGGCGAACGATGGGCGGTGGGACGCTATTCGCGCCGTCAGAGAGCGTGATGGATATCTCGGAATGAACCACTTCAGGTTCTTGGATAGGCTCGGCAATGGCGACGTCGGTTGCGTGTACCTCGCGAAGCTGACCGGGACGAGGTTCCTGTTCGCCATGAAGGTGATGGACAAGGCAGTGCTTGCGTGGCGGAAAAAGCTGAGCAGATCGCAGACGGAGAGGGAGATTCTGCAATGCCTCGACCACCCGTTCTTGCCGACCCTATACGCCCACTTCGAGACCAATAACTTTTCTTGTTTGGTGATGGAATTCTGCCCTGGCGGCGACCTCCACAGTCTCCAGCAGCGGCAGCCTGGGAAGTGCTTCACTGAGGAAGCAGCAAGGTGAGAATGCAATTGTCCTAGTTTTTGTTCAGATTTAGGAATAATAAGATGTAAATGTAGAGTCTTTGTCTGCATATCATGTTTTTGAACAATTGAAATGTGCCTATGCCTATGTTAGATGTTTTGTCCAGAGAATTTTTATGCATAATTTTCATATTAAATTGTCAGAGGTGTTTATTTGCTGATCAGTGATTCAATATAGTGAAAATGGGGTTAGATATTAACGTTGCATAATATTATTGTTTCTGTTGTCTGAGTAAGTCAGCAGAGTATTCTCTTAACTATGATCGAGAGGATGGAGGTGGTGAACTGACGAAGTGAAGGGAGGAAAGAGGTAAGGAGGGAAGAGAGGTACAGTGGACGCATACTAGATGGAGAGAGAAGAGATGGTCGGTGGTGGAAGTTCAATGACAAAAATGCTTGGGTGTTTTTTTCAACAATGTAGGTGTGGGGCATGGGAGTGAAGGGGACTAATTGGGTTGCAGATGTGGGGTATTAGGTTTGGATTTGACCAGTTGGGGGTAAGGGGATGGGTGGGTGGTGTTTGGTTTGGTTTGGGTTGGAATTGGGTGTGGAGTGGATTGGTTGGAGGAGGAGGAGAAATGGGTTTCAATTATGTCTCCATGGGTTGGATGGGAATTGAGCACGAATTAGATCATAGGATTTTGTCACTTTTAGCTATAGCCTAGGCAAAGGCTTAAAACCTGTAGTGCTTTAATCGAGGCATTCTCCTAAGTGATACCTAGTTGAAGATGCCTCTCTTAGGACTTATCGAGATGCTTGGACCTTGCCTTGTATCGCCTGAATGCCCAGATAAGCATTCGAGCGTCTCTTGATGTCACTGTTTCGACTCTCTCGTCGACATGAAACAATATAATATCGGGTAGTGGGTGATTGTAATTTCTTTAGATTTTCAATCATTTTGAATCTAACTTGTTTGTGTGGAACCCCCTCACATTAATTTTTATCTCAACTAATAACAGGTTGATTTGATCGTTGTGGGTACATCTTGTAGTCAAACTTGTTATATCTTTATATGGTAGATGTTTTATGTGTCTATATATATAGGGTGTGTTCAATGAAGCCCTTTGAATCTGGCTTTTGTATTGAACCTGATAGATCATGTTGAGTGACAAAAGAACATAATGAATGACAGTGGTTTTATGTAACTGACTCGCTGAAGCCTTTTGTTAGATATACTGCTCGAACTTAACCTTGACTGTGCAACTAATTGTTACTTCAACTATTATCTAAAAAGGCAGAAATGACAAACACTGTCTACTGACAAGGTTGAAACCAATTTGCATTTAGCTCATGTTGTTGTTGTTAAGCATGCTTTATGAGTAACATGTAGGAACAGCTTAGAAATGGAGCAAACTAATTTGTGTAATGTTTAAATTATAATTGGTTGAAGGAAGTTCTTCAATTCGCATTTGCATGAACAGAGAGAGGATTCAAAAATAAATTAAATCGAAGGTTGTGTGACTTGTGTCCTGAAGGTGTGGGATCATGTAGTTTGATGCATAATTTAGTGGTGCATTTTCCGAAAGCTGCTTTTGAGTTGGATGCCGGTATATGGGAGACTGATTTTGAACTTGTTTTGTCTGACCTTGTGGGCCTTGTCAATTTAAGTATCGAAGCTGGAAACTACGACGCTTCCATTGCAGCTCTCTCGAAAGTACAGTTTCCCCTATCAAATTATCCAATTATCTAGAGGTCTGTTGGGGTCTTAAATATCCAACATTTGCAGTCCTTTTCATTATGGAGTTTGTATTGGCTTTTGAATATTAACATTCATGCTTTAATCAAAATTAATGTTAGTATGCATCTATTCATGGTTTACATCATAGATAAATTGAATTGCTATATACACCCGGTTTGACAAACATCTGGTGGAACAACTATTCGTTCGACTTGATCTGAGTGTTCCTTTCAACACCAACCAACTCATTTGACGCAGTCAAATTACATTTTCAACACCGTCTAACCAACCATTACCAGAAAAACTTTTACATCATTGTCTAATTTTTGTCAAGCATGAGTATGTTTTACGGAAAGTTCAGCAGTGAGTGTGGGAAGTATATCTCGAGGTTAAATATGAAGCTTACTTACACTTCTTATAATCATGGACTGTTTGCATGCTATAACAACTTTACCGATACTCTTCGCCTACTAAAGGTGATGGGCTTGATTCTTGATTATAGGTTGAAATACCTTTCAATTCTACATGCGTGATCTTTTGATATCAATGCAGGTTTTACGTGGCTGAAGTTCTCCTTGCTTTGGAGTACCTACACATGCTTGGGATAATTTATAGAGACCTGAAGCCAGAGAACGTGTTGGTAAGAGAGGATGGTCACATAATGCTCTCTGATTTCGATCTCTCTTTAAGGTGTGCCGTCTTCCCCACTCTGGTGAAATCGACAAAAACTGATTTGTGTTCCTCGAAGAGTTCTGGAAAATATGCTCAACCCTCTTGCGTTGAGCCCACCTGCATGCAGCACTCATGCCTGCAGCCCACTTGCTTCTCACCACGTTTCATAGGACTTGGGAGGCCCAAGGCAAAGAAAGCAATTCCAAGTGAAGTCGGTGACAGCGGTTCTGTACTCCCTGAGCTCATTGCGGAGCCATCTAATGCCCATTCGAAGTCCTTTGTTGGAACTCATGAATATTTGGCACCAGAGATCATAAAAGGTGAAGGCCACGGAAGTGCCGTGGATTGGTGGACATTAGGGATATTTTTTTATGAGCTTTTGTTTGGGAAGACACCATTCAAAGGGTCTGGAAACCGTGCTACCTTGTTCAATGTGGTGGCGGAGCCCCTAAAGTTTCCCGAGTCACCCCCAGTCAGCTTTGCAGCGAGAGACCTGATCAAAGGCTTGCTTGTGAAAGAACCCCAGCAACGATTTGCATGTAGGCGTGGTGCCGCTGAGGTAAAGCAGCATCCTTTTTTCCACAGCATTAATTGGGCACTTATTAGGTGCACTAGCCCGCCCGAGGTGCCAAGGATAATCAAGCATGAGAACTGGACTGATGGTGAGTTTCCGGTCATACTCAATGGGAATATGGCAGGAGTCAATTTGAAACCATGTGGGCAATATCTAGACATGGATTTCTTCTAACTTTGGCAGATCTGTTCTGTCGTCAGTGCACTTTGGCACAATATCAATCTCAACTCGCTGCCTCGTTTGGTCCTAAAGAGAAGTTTTAAGTTTTACAGTGAGGAATGCAATACAGTTGTTGTGGTTGCTCTCTTTAGGCAGCGGATCTCAGTATGATGGAAGATATGCAAATCCTGGTTACTCTTTTGTTACCGAGTGCTCCTCGTAATGACGAAGGCCGAGAAGGGTGATCCAGGCTTAGTTTTGTATGCTGAGGCAACATAGTTGGAAAAGGAATTGCGGCTCCTGGGATAATAGGAGTGGTCACAAGTTTCAACAGAAGTTTGCAGGTTTCTTTTGCTGTTTTACTGTAACTTCCTCAGTGGTTTTTGATGCCCATCATGAGACTGATGGAATATAAGGTGGAGAGCGGCAGATTAAAAAGAATGTGGTCTGTCATCTAAATTTGGAGGCAAAAATGGTTGGCAGCTGACATGATTATTTCACTGGTAAAGAATGCCAGGTTTCATGGCAAATATGTGTGCCTTGGCACATAAACACAATTCCCCCTGTCTCATACTACATAGGCTAGATTGAGCATCAAGGAAGAATTTAATATTGTAAGCAAGGAGTTTACAGGTTTTCTTTTCTTTTCTTTTCTTTTCTTTTCTTTGTTTAAAATGTTACTCCTATTCAATGATTTTTATATTACATGGGTACGACAGGACTTGCAGTTCAAATTTGATCTTATCTGGGGATATAATGTTTGCAGAGAGCCACATATATATCGTACTGCTGATGCTCCATCAGAGATTGGATTCCTCGGATCCAAATACGGCAGAGCATGTCAGCGATGGCAAGACTTAAAAACAGGCATCGTCTTCTTCTCTTATTTACATTTCAGCTTTTAGAACAAAAAATGTTTTGGAACACAATTGAAGCTAAATGATGCTACACTAACTATATATGCGTTCAGAATCATCCGCAGCTCGTGGCACATTCATGAAAACTATCCAAATAGAAACCATAAAAAATACCCCCCTCTTCTTGTGAAAAATAACAATCTCCAGGATTTATGATGGGGAAATCCATAATATATTCTCTAGTATAAAAGAGCATTACAGTCCTCATCCTTGCATCCCAGCTCCACCATAAAATTAGTAAGCCGAGGTGAAAGATGAAGGGTGACATGAGGCTTTAGGTGAGATCATCTTCCTCTTCCTCCTTTGCTTTTATTGCATTCTTCACTCTCAGCAGAAGTGTGGTTTTCCAAGAATCCTGTAGTCAAGTTTAATCGATTTAACAGTACACCAAAAGCACCAAATACAGAGGCAGTGGATGCGAGTCCTGAAATGAACAAGCCCCATGTATGACAACTATGTGCATCGATACTACTGCCTTAATAACGAGTGTTCATATGGCTGTGGCAAAATTATACAGAATTTTCCCTTTTGAATGGTAATGCAAAACTTGCTTTAGGTTTGAAAATTATACACACTGAAACAACTATATTCAGAGAGAAAACTAATGCTTCTCAAAATCCAAAGTTTAGGACAGGTTTAATCAGCAAAATCAACTTACCAAACAGCAAATTTTGAAATATCAGAGTACCAAGTAGATTACATGGTGGAAGAAGTAAGTTTAAAATCAGCACGGACTTTTAAGCTATATTTTGAAAAAGCGACACTGAAAGCAGGATAGGTGGTGGGAAGGAATTTTGGTGTAATATAAGGGCTTCCGATAAGACACTAATAAAAGACAATGTAAAATTGAAAATCTTGTTCAGGCATGTAATTGAGAGGACATTAATACAAATATATGATACTAAAATCTTTATTACATCTCATCGATTTTTGCAGTGAATTAAATTATATCAAATTGCCCTACACAAGTTCTTGTTACCCCAGTATTTACCTAGATTAACCAGCAATTTTTGGCTTAAATTTCATGCATGCATGCATGCTTAAGTGTATTTCATACAATTGTTTATTAAAATAAAAGGCATACCAGTCGAGTCATGCTATCATATTCTTGGGCAGCATCAGTAAACTTTGCAACATCTCCCTCGTCCATCGAATCTGCCAAATCCTGAAATGAAAGTGATTACTTTCTAAGATATGTTCCTATATATAGTTCATATAGTCCAGCCAATAGACAGCTTTGAGGCAACTTTTTCCACATACTAAAAAAAAACACATAGGAATAATATATACAGATGACTCATGATGGACATGTAGCTTAGAGAAAGAGAAAGAGAAAGAGGAGGAAGCTAAATAATTAACAAAATCTGAGCTGATATCTCAAAAACTACTACATTGAAATCTATCGACAAACTAACTCTTGATTTCAACTTCGAAGACCGAATTTTATCTGCTTAAACTTGATAGCATATTTTACTAGCAATCGAATATATCAAGTTCATAAAATTGAGACCGAAACGATCAAAATGATCAAAAAGTTAACAGATAATTGGTAGATTGACTGGAAAGCTTTCGTGTGAGAAAACTACGAATAAACTATCAAATGTTGTAATTATTGTCTTTTTTATATATAGATTTAGCTTTCAGTATAAATGGCAAGACATTCTAAACAGATTTATTTAACCTTCCTATATTTTACATATCTTCCATTTTCTTCACACAAATTTGAAATATCAAAATTTTGGTGCTTGAGACGAGTTCAAATAAGACTCGAGAAAATCCAAAGCTAATATAGAGTATGTGAAGTTTTCTTGCAAACAAGGTTAACAGGAACTTGGTATTCTCAGCATAAGAAGGTAATCAGTAAATGAAAAATCATGCCTATTGACCACACAGTAAACAAAGTAAAGTTCAAATCTTACAGCTAAAAGCTTGTATTCACGTGTGCCCGAAAAGGTAGGATCAATTTCCTATAACAAATATAATCCAGTTATTGATGTTTGTATGTCTCAGAAAAAAATGATTTCAACTACCAAACCAAGAAGTATACAAACCTGATATCGCTCTAATGCATTTGTAATTGCAACCACATCACCCTTACACAAGTGACAGATACCAGCATTAAGAAGAATCCCCTTAACACCATACCTAAGAAGACTATTATTGACCGAGTGTCGAGCAAGTGCTTCATATATTTCAATTGCCTTTGGGTATCTGGAAAAATTACAGTGTCAAAAAATTTCAACGCACAACTGCAATAGAATTCAAAGAATCCAAATATTGACATGGTTGAATCCTTATATTAGAACTCTAAAATTATTTGAAGTTGATTACTGTATGCATATCTAAGAGAATCTACAATGATTATAGTTGGTAAGAAATGCAAAATGTCCTCCAATGATCAATGTAAATCTGCAATATTTAGCAACTTTCAAAATGTCTAAAGACCCACAATAAAAAATATAAGCAGATGATATGAAATGAAGTTTGTTTTTTACTTGAGATTATCAAAATCCAAAACAGGTGAAACTGTTCACTGAGATCAACTTTCATGTTGTACATACAAAGGGACCTAGAAACTGAAAATATACAGACAATCATCAGATATGAGGTTGTTGTCACACTAGGAAGAAGTGACAAAGAAATCCATACAAATTGGCACTGGATAATAAAGAATGAGTTTAGTGAATCAGTCTTACAAGAAAATGCATTATCAACAGAAAGGCTTACTTTATAAATTTTATTTGCAGGTTAGTAGATACAAAAAGGCAACCAATATTCCAGCTGGATATTCATTATCAAATCTGAATGAATAAACAAAAAAAAAATTCAAAGAATGCAAGAATAGTATAGAGATATACAAAAAGTTATAATAACAACATGATAAGCTTACTGTTCCATCTGAGCAGCAAACTGTGCAACTTTTTGCTTGCACTGGTTTGCAGAAGTTGTTACTTCCTCACTTTGAAAAAGATCAGCAGCCCGCTCAAAGTAATCCATCGCATTCTCTAAATTCTGTTCTTGCTCATTTAATTCACCAAGTTCCTGTAAGATAAAGATGTGGGATCCTCAGCAAAAGATATTTAAACATCTGAAAAGGAAAATCAACATAACTTTTAATACATGCATGCTACCATTATAAACCCTAAATGTTATCCCATCCCAGAAACATAATTGGAATGAGTTTCATGCTGTACCAAGGGCAACACCGTGTTGACTTGGTACAGAGTCCATGGTAGTTGGCATGTCATGCCGGCACATAAGCAGCAAACCGAAGTTACAAAATTTAATACCTTGATTACTATATCTACTAATATATGCATATTTCATCATCTGAAAACGAAACATTTACAATCTAACCGTCAAAATTTAAGCAAAAAATAGGGCAGAAATTCATCTAGGAAAGTTCATCACCTTGTAGTATCTTGCGGCCATGTTTAATCTACCAATCTCCAGAAAAAGTTTCACCGCCTGGTTTAACGATTGTGTAGCATCTGCAGAAAACAAAACTTGTTTCACAGATCTACAAAACAAATTAATTGTGTAAAAATGCCTACCTAGTATTTGATATTTTACAATAGGAAAAAGATATTCACTAACAGTCCAAATAGAATGACCAATAAGCAACCTTGCATGTCTGTTGCTCGGACTCTTAGTTCTAACACACATAACAAGCAACAGAGCATAACCAAATCCACAAAGGCGTCTGAAGCCTTTTCCTACTCTTAAGTAATCACATATTAGTCATGAACCAGACAGGAACAGGTGGATCCACTCTTAAGCACAAGGAAGCACCCTATAATATTCTATTGTCCAGCAGCCAGTGATCCTCGCTTTTCTTCCGCTAGCTGCTGAACACAATAATGTGGGAGAGAACCAAGGTTGGCAATGTACGTACCAAGAAAAGGGTCATCTTAGACAAAAGCCACAATTTCCAGATTTCTTAAATCAGTAAATTTGCATAAGGGAATTTGAGAGAGTAGACTATGGAAGGCTAACACTTTCAGTTTGGCTGTCCATCTACAAGCTGAGAACAGTAGATGAGAGCTGCAACCTGCAAGCTGGTCAGAACTGGCCACCGACTGCAGCCAAGCTGGTCAGAGTTAAGGTTGATTGCCAACATCCAGGTAGAAATGGCAGGCTATACTCTGCTACTATCAGCTATGGTGGTCATCAACTAGAGCAGAGTTGGGCCATGATTAGAGTTAGCGGTGGGGCATCAAGATGTGATGAGAGCAAGTCTATGGTTTTGATTGCATCAAAGAGAGGAAACATGAATTTGGGAATAGGATCAAAACCATTTAGCACCAACCCATAACCAAACAATATTAAGCTAAGTCCATAGACAGTTTGACCTCATAGCGAACCTAAGTTCATGATTGATTTGTGTAGGTAACTTGATGATAGTCAACAAAGCAAAATGACGACCACCATGTCTAGGACCATTATCATTTAGAAACGCACCTTATTCTGTATGTTTCTTTTCCCATATCACTCTATTACTGAAGAAATGAAAATGTGGACTACAAATTTATGTATGTGATATGAATTATGATTCTATTTTGCACTATCTTTTGAGACATATATTGGGGAGGGGGGCGGGGTGGCATCTAAAGATTGTCACAATAATATGGCATGAATTTGCATCCAGAGACCATCCAAATGATGATGATAGCCAAGTTTTCCACCTCCCTCTCTTGTTCTTCCTCAAGGAAACCGAGTTATAAATACCTTAGAGTAAGCTTTCCTTGGATAAAAATATACCTTGGATTGAGATTTTCTTGTAGCAGTTTGCTGCATCTACATAAGCTGAGGCAGCTTCATGTGTGCTATCTAACTGCATCATGGAATCAGTATGAACATAATAACATATTAAGTGAAAACATGTCAAATGACTTAAAACCAACATGATAAGCTAACCTTCAAATGACAATCAGCAAGTTTGAAATACACTGATCCAGCTCTCTCCCCTGCAATACCAGTATCAAGTAATGTCAGTTCGAAAGCGTTACACTTTCAAAGTTGTTGACTTGAAACCACATTAATTAGCATTATGGTTATGCTTGAAAATTAACTTCAAAATAACTGAAAGAGTGATTGATGTGTTCCCAGGACCAAGATCAAATTTAGGATTTGTTTCAGGATCTGTGATGGAAATTCGTGTCAAGCTCAAATATATCCAATCAGTTGACTAGTAAAGATAAAGAAATGATTTTTCAAAAATATTAAAAATCATGATACTTAGGAAAGTTCAACAGATCAATGATCCAACTAGAAATCCACTGAATCTGACCAGGGGTCTGCTGACGAAAATGACCGCTAGACAAGATGACACAGTAGTACGTCTAGCACATCTAACTGGATGTGATTTCACTAATTCAGTCTTTATTTCTCATTCCAGCAAAAAATAAATAAATGTACAGGTCGTATTTAATTTCAGCCTTTATCTAAAACTCTATTTTAGTGAAAGGTTAGTTGGTTGCTTGACATGGTTAGATGTGATAGTATTTTCTTTTTCTTTTTCTTTCACGAAGTCCAAAGCAAAAAAGGACTATCTTGGCCAGTTGGCCCAGTTCTAATAAACATTGTGTAACTGCAGGTTTTGGAGTTGATGGTTTGAGGAGGAATTACAAGAGGGATCAGCCATTCCTAAAATCATGGTTATGCAGGATAGCACAATGGCATCTGTTGAATTGATGTTTGTAACTATTAATCAATGAAAGTTGAAATATATAAATCACCATAACGTAATTGAAGATGGTGCCCATTAAAAAAGGATAACGACATGCTAATAATTCATCCTAAGAAGTCTTGCATTCACCACCATGACCCAACCAGATATTAGAACCAACGGTTCCTTTCCAACAACATAATCAACCTTCTAAACTTAGAAGGATAAAAAACAGCAACTACAAAATCAGAATGTTCCTCTGCAGGAGTAAATTCCTCAACTATGAGCCCCATCGTGCATTACAACAGGAACAGGCATTCCTACAAATCATGGTTATGCAGGAGAATGAAATGGAATCTTACAAATTGATGTTTCTAACTATTAACCGACAAGAGTGCAAACACACAAATCACCATAATGTTATTGGAGGATGATGCTATCCAAACAGAGATAATGAGATATTCATAATTGATAATTCATCCTAAAAGGCTCTTGCATGCACACTAATACCCCAACCAGATACTAGTACCGATAGCCAACATCTAAAGACGGCCTTACGAGCTTTTAGTCTGTTGCCAGAATCTAAATAGGTCTCATGATTGATACTAAATCGGAATCTTTTTCGTCAACGATCGAAAAGATTCTTGGATTGGAAGTCGTAATACAACTCCCCCGAAGAATGTTTAGATTCTCGCAAGGCTAATTGGCATCGGATCGAAAAGAGACGGGTGAACAATTACGAAGAGCAATTGCCGCCGAAAAGGAAAGGGAAGAAAGAGAAAGAGAAAGAGAAAGCAGAATACAGTTCTTGGCTAACTTGAAGCAATTGGCGGCCTTGTCGAACAACTCGGCCGCGTCATCGTACTTGTTGCCGAAGATTCCCCAGCCGCCGAGCGTCTTCTCCGCCTTCTGCTCCAACTCGTCGCCCTTCGCCGTCTGGTCCGCCATGTCTTCGCAACCCTCCTTTCGTCGCTCCCTTTCTCCAGCGCGGAGTGCCGAATTAATAGAATGGGAAATGGGGGTAGACGCAAAAAGGGCCCCTGCGATCGCAATGGGTGATGAATTCATCGTTCCGACAATAATAACAACAATTTATTATTATTATTATTATTATTATTATTATTATTATTATTATTATTATTATTATTATTATTATTATTATTATGTCCATATGGATCAATGTTCTAACATTAGACACACTTTCCATTATGCCTATGATTATCCGACTGATACTTTGTTGCTTGAGTTAATAATAATATATTTTCCTCATCTAAAACTAAATCTGAGATCATCTCCAATATCAATATTTAATGTGACATAATTATCCACTAAAATTTTTTTAATCATCTTTATCATGTTTCATGATCCGATATGACATTGTCAAAATGCTTTAAGTTAATAATAATAATACTTTTTGCCCTTCAAAAACTAAATCGAAGATGCAGTTAACCAGTTGATCTTAATTTATCGAACTCAATTCAATGAATTCAGACCTACTAAATTCATTAAACCTAAACCACTTAATCAATGCTTAAATCCAAATTAGCATTAACTTATAACTAATCTTCGAAGCTAATCTTAATATTTATCTACTTCCAATATGGGACTACATCATGCATGTTACATGCTCGCATCAAGTACGAGACTCCGTCAATCAGGTGCGGATGGCCAATGGACATACGACAACATAAGAGCACAATACAACCACAGGGAAACTTCACAAAAAATCAATAAAAAGGCATGTAAAAGGTAGTAGTCATCTTTCAAATGGGCACCATTAGACAAAAAAGTTTGTTCATTATGCTTGACATGTTACTTGCTCAAATGTAATTGCAGAAAGGATATCACAATTCATCTTTGACATGGAAACACTCCTCATCTCATACATAATTGCAAGAAAAGCTATCACAACTCATCTTTGACATGAATACACTCTTCATCCCAATAATAAGGGAACTTCAACTTGGCTGCAGTGTGGGGCATATTCCAGTCCTCATATATAAACCTGCGTAGAGTAGACACATCAGTACACTTGATTGTTATATGGGATAATCCGAACATTTTGCATGACATGTAATTTATACTCACATTGTTCTTTCAGTTAATTGTAGTGTTTATATACATCAGTTGGATGTTTCTGTGTTGCCTAACATTATGCATGAAATGGTGCTTTCGGTTATCTGTTGTGTTTATAGTTTATACACATTGGTTGTATACTGACTTCTCTTTCTATCTTGTCTCCACTAATAACCATAATATTCAGGTTAACAGTCAAGCATAAGATGTGGAAGTTAGCACCATAAATGTTGTTTTTAGAAGTTCTGAAACCACATAGGTATGTTGGACAATCAGTATTACTTCCCATGGAGATGCAAAACTTCAGTAGGAAATCACATTGGTATGTTGGACAATCAGGCACATGGGTTTGTAACGATAGACTGTTGAACAGTAGTCAAAAGGTAAACCTAACAATAACAAAACCAGCCATACTATGATGTATTACAAATGCATCTTGAATGAGAAAAGAGTAGAAAATGTGAACTTTCAAGTCTTACATGCATCATGATTAGGTACGATATTGTTCAAGTTCTACATAACCAGCATAGTTGATTTGTTATCATGGCCTGACAGTTACCATTCCAAATACTTAATTTTGACCATTATATCTACAGAACACTAGCAATCCTCAACAGATATTCATGTATATCTCACATATAACACAGAAAGCCATAATTTGATTTGCAAGCTATAAGAACCATTCAATAGAATGTTAAAGTATAAGGCTGAGAATTCAGATCTAACACTTTGACTGGTGGACGAGATATAACAACTAGCAACTGCAAGTCCTCGGTCTCATCTGTATTCAATACCTGCAGAACACATGTAGATGAACTCAACTAGTGAAAAGATAACGAAAACTAAATATTCTCTAGCAGCATATAGTTGCAACATATATTTGCTACTTGACTATTGTCAAGCTATAATAATAAACTGTGATATGTTCCTTAACAAATACAACTGAAATATAATCAATTGAATCACATATCTTTAAACAAATTCATACCACATTTAGCCAACCATAAGTATCATGTTGCAAATAAATAGTAGTAAAATATTATATAATTATTATAAATTCGTCTGAAAGTATCCACCGCTTTCATGTGCTTCTACAAAAAGATCAAGTCTCCATTTCCCAGTACCTCTAAATGACTTGTTTCCAAGTCCTGACTGCAGATCGTTAATTTTTCTCGACTAATGTGCTTGATTCATCATCATTGTCCAATGTGATAGCTTATCCAACCTGATATCTGTATTTGTCCTTTAAAGATTTTTCTCTTTTATCATGATGAGCACTAAAAAACTATATTGCACATGGTGCCACCTATTCACCCACATACAGTATGTAGTGATCCCATTTTATGCCAGCAACTAGTTTTAGTGGAACCCCTACACAGGGAATTCTTTCACACTGGTTTAACTTAATCATACATAGATTCAATGGGACCTGGCCTTTCTTTTGTCAGAGAAATTATGTTAAGACATAGCATTGTTATGCTGGGAAATTTTACTTATTTCTCATTAAAATATATTTTTATTAATTTAAGGTATTACCAAATGGCGATATCTTCGATAATCATATATTTATTATCAAGATCATCAAAAATAAGAAAAAAGGAAGCCAAAGAAAAGATCAATATTAGACTTCATAAATTATTCAAAGGAAGAAAGGAGGTACATAAAAAAAAAATTAAGGAAAAACAAGGGTATGGCTTTCCAGATCTAGTCCCCATGGTTTTAAATACTGGTCCCATGATGGACCAATACCAGATGATATGGTCCAATACTGATTGGTATTAGTTTTTATGATTGATTCAGATGATATCAGATAGTTCAGGTTGGTATATCATCCAATGTACCAGTACTGTACTAGTTTGGTAAAGTAGCAAAATCAACATTGGAACAAGATATAAATTTCACTTCTCATGGAGTAAACATCAAATGACCAATGAATTTTTCATGTATAAAGTAAGTTCTCACTACAATGAAGCATCACAAGATTAACTCCAGTGAGAAACAATATTAGGCATCCAAAAATAACGGTGAGCCCAAGTCTTTCATAAAGACTTCTGATTATGGATGTGTGTTGTATCGGACTTGATATAAGTTGCATAAAAAATGTAATGGAGGCAGCACAATTAACAATTTAAGAATGAAGTTTTCAGGTTTGTTCAGTATCAAGTCCAATCTAGTAACCCCGCCTGAAAATTTAAATCAAAGCACCAAAATATGCAATCCTGTTCTTTGTAAGAGATATTAAGAATAACCACAGGTTCCGAATATATCACACAAAATTAGATTTTGGTAAAACAGACAAACAGAAGTACCTGATGAGGATCATTCACGGGGACAGCAAAAGTGCTATTCGCATAAATATGGAATTCCTGAGGTGTCCCTGGGTACTTAAATGAACTTGACCCAAGTAAAAGTGTACCCTTCCCTTTTAAAACCACAAATACCTCTTCACAAGAGTGCCGGTGAATTGGTGTATGTGTGCCTGGTGAAAATGTCTGAAGCCATACCTCAACCTGGAAAAAAAATAGTTGGATGGAATTATCTACTTCTGTGAAAAAATGCATATAAGTAAATTAAAAAAAAAAGTTGGATGGAAATATCTTCTCACGGTGTTGTTGTTGTTGTTGTATGAAAAAATGCATCAATTCCACTAATCACTCCTGAAAACTTCCACATAATGTCATCTCACATGAGCCTTAATACATGTGCCTCATACATACGGGTCCTATGGCGTTTGTGAGATGCAAGATAACTCTTAAAATTTTCAAGGTGATTCAACCTTCTTGGACTGATTTCTTTTACTAGTAAAATTGAGATATTACAACATGCAAAATATGCATAAACCATCCATTTAAGTGTGACAAATGAAATTAACCACAAAATACCAAAGACACATTGATGTTAACAAGCCAAAACTTAGATGGGTAAACAGGCATATAAAGGGTGAGTTAAGCATCTCCCTAAAACTTAAAATTCCAATTTCAAGTGACAACTCAAATGAGGATTTAATTTATCAAACCATACTCTCATTTTCACAAGCAGAAAGAGATTTTGTTATTTTTTAAGTAGGTCACCTGAGATTCATCAATACTTGCTGATTATATACTCTTTGACATTGTTATATATCCATATGTTAAAGCATCAGAGGTTATGTTCAATATCATGACAACCTTTTCTCTATATCTATTTGATGCACAATCAATTTCTTCAAAATGCAGCTAGATCTAGAAGGTTTGTTTAGGATAAATACTGAAAAGCACTCTTACTATACACCAGGTTGTTTAAATTTAAATAGAAAGAAACTTATTGTCAAATAAATTCACCTCATAATGTTTAATGATTTTGAGAATTATAAATACAGATTTTAAGAATTCTAACTAAAATATCTTTTGATGATAAATGTTACAGCCTTGGTTGCTTACCTCTTTCATTCCATGTGAAACTGCACCTGCAATAGTGGCATGAGCCAAGCCTCCTCTCCCAAAGTCACTTTGAGGTATATTGCTTATATTTCTTACCAATGGAGAACCTGGATAAAAGAAAAAAATGCACTAATCAGCTTAGAAAATATGAGTATGTAGCTATTCTGTGTTCTACATTCTCAAATAACACAAGAAAAACAATGAGCTACAAGGAGCATTCAGATAATTACTAGGTTATTCTCTTAAGCTAAATTTATGTGGAGTTTTCCCCCGTTTCAATTCACTCAAAGAAGGATTTAGATTTATAAAACTCCTTAAAGATCCAAATTTTTTTGAACTATAAACTAAGAACATCAGTAAACTAAAGAGTGTTCACTAAAGAACACTAAAATCATACAAATAAACATTGTGGGACTACAAAATATAAATAGAAGCTTGTGCAAGATAAATAATAGATTTAAGGGCCATTTTCAGACCTTGGAGGAGTAGCCTTTTTTTTTTTGAAAGATGGCCTTGATTGATCATTCAAAAAATTAAAGAATATTCATTAATACAGCACTCAGAACAAAGAGATATAGGGATTAGAGGATAAGAATCCAGGTTGAGATCAAGAAACCACATTATAGGATATTAAGGCTGTGACCATAGAGGGAGTACAGAGTAAGACCTCTTTGCATAAATTTGAACGTCAAAAGGTGAAGTCATTTACTCCAAATAGCAGGAACATGAAACTATTTTTTCCAGATCAGGCAAGGTTATCATATCGTTGGTAGATATGGACAGCCTTTCCTACAATCAGGGATTTCTTTTTGAGTTTTATATGCAGAAAGAGAACTCTATAATTTTTCACTCCCTTCGAGTAATTTAAAAAGTTCTGCCCTGAAACCTTGACGCCATAATTGACTATTTAAAATTGATTCTTTCTTCCACTAAAGCATCACAGTACGGGACAAGCAATCATCTACTGATATTACACAAACAAAATGTACGTTCCCTTTGTTTGCTGATAACGCCAAGCAGTAATATCAAATGAAAATCCAACAAAGGGAAATTATGAGTGTGATCTGTCACAAAATCATGCCCTAAATTCATTTTTTCCCTATTTCCTTCTATAATTAACGAGATAAAATGGCAAACTAGTCCAACAAAATAGCTAACCTATGTCCTAACAAATTCAATTATGAATACCGATTAAATTTTCCTTTCAATTGACATAAGCCCAACTTTCTCACTTTATTTCATTTCCTCGGTCTTTAAAAACAAGTAAACCAACTAAGGTTCTTAGAATTATAGGCTAGTACAAATTAGATATGATGGATAACGGTCCTATAAGTAGAATTCAGAGTACAAATTACAACTTTTGACTTCCCACAATTAGCAAAGATTTCTCAATCTACAATCCTAGAATGAACCCAACTTCACAACCGCCTCGTAGGTGATGGAGATGGAATTCAGTATTCCCACAGCAGAACCCAATCCAATAAGATTGAAGAGAAACGAGACTGGATAAGCGGTACAAAAAGCAGTAATTCGCTAACCGCTGCCGGAGCAGTGCGCGGACGCGTCGGCCGCGATGGCCGCAACAAGGAGGAAGACGAAACGTAGACTCCCGCGATCAACAACCCCGCTCATCTCTCTCTCTCTCTCTCTCTCTCGCTCGATCTCTCTCGATGTAAGTGGGATGCTCGAGCGGGTGAGGAGTATATAGGAGAGGGCAGAAGCGGGCCCTATCGACGCACCTGTTAAGCCCGAACAGCATACAGTCTTTTCCTGCATTTTATAAAATGGGTCCCACAGAAAACAAAAGATGGTAGTGGCGCTTTCGTTGTGAACCCAGTTTGGTATTTACAGGAAATCTTAATCTAATATACAACTGAGCCAACTGTTGGGTTGGACAAATTTTTATAAAGGAAATTGGTATTTGGAACAACTTTTGCTTTGGGTAACCCCTTATTATACAACTACCTAAAAAATAATAAAATATAATTTTATTAAATATAAATATTTTAATTATTAATCATATTTTTATTTCACATAACTCATTAATTACCATATTATAAGCTCGAAATATAACATCTTCATGGTTGATGAGAACAAATATACATCCATCGGACCATTAGATACACTCGAAATATCATCTTTTTATCTATAATCCAATGTTAAAATTCTATAAAATATTAAATCGACACAATAAATATAAAAAAATAATGTTTCAACTCATCCTTTTGATTTTTAAATTATTTTATTTGATTATCTATCTTTTTTATTATTTAAAAAAATTCTTAAAATTAAGTGATAAATTAAAAATGTTTACTTCCATTTATAGAAAGTATGTTAGGAATATTAAAAGTTTTAAAAATGAGATTATAAATAGCAAGAAAAATTATTACGGATCATGATGAAATAGTTTTGAGGGAATGCGACACATATGGAAAAAAGTCTCTTTAAAGATTTGATCATACAAATATATGATCGAGAGAGTTAACAGGAGCTTCATTTCGGTGGGTAACATAACGACAAGAAGAGATATTGATTCAATGAGTAAATATAATGATACTATAAGGATAGGTCTTTTGTACCAAGTGAGTGAACATTACCATTAAGAACATGAAAAGAAAATAATTTACTTGAACTTAACAACATAATGACAAAGATTATGCACGAGAGTTATAGTTTATTTTTTCATCGACCAGGGGAATTGTTCAGAAAACACATGTGTTGAGACAAATGATCTTCTATTTATAATTATATTTTTAAGATATTACTATTTATAGTCCTTGTTTACTATTTATAATTTATCTTAATTTTTTTTAATATTTTGAAGCTACTCATTTACAAATAGATATAAACATTATTTTTTTTCCTTTTCTCCTTTCTCCTTCTAACAATGTCAAGAGGATGGTGAGTGGGGTCGAACAACTTTGGTAACGAAGATGAAGGACCATCAATATTAAGTTTCTTTTTAGAATTTTTAATATTTCTAAAATATTTCTCCAAAATGGATATAAATATTTTCATCATATTTTTTTTATTAGTTATTTTTCTTATCTTAATCATGAGTACATGTAAGTAACGAGTGGTATCGAACAAATATGAATACTCTGATTGTCATCTTTCTTCTTTTCCTTTTCTTCTCCTAATTATAAGCGACGTTGAGCATTGAGCGATGTCGAGGGGGTATCCAGCGGTATCGGAAGGCATTGAGCGACAAGTGAAGAGGGAGTGATGAGTGGCATTAAATGATTATGAAAAACAAAAGGGTCAGATTGGTAATTGAGGTGATTAATCTCTTTCACAAACTTTACATATATGCTCCTATCACAGTAAAATTTACGGACGGCTCCCTTGAGATGTATATTTGCATTAATACCCCTCCAAACATGGACTTCTCGCAAAAATCTCTTACTCTTTACGTCTTTGTATTTGGCCAATTGAGCTGATACCATTCGAAGAAACGCCTCAATGCTCCGACCGAGCTCACTGCGATCATCCTCTTCCCCTCGAGTCCTCTTCTCCTCCTCCCATGGCGTCGCCCGCCGCCCCCTCGCCTCCGCCCCTTCGCCGCTCCCTCCGCCGGAGTGGATCGAGCCCTTCCTCGACGTCTCCGACCTCACCCGCCACCGCGGTGACCCCCGAAACCCCTCCCCGTGGTTCCCCCGCGTCGTTTCGCTCGTCCTCGCTTCCGCCCCCGGCTCCCTCCCCTCCGACCTCGCCTCATTCTGCCGCAGGTTCCTCATCCGCCTCTCCCCCGCCTTCGTCTCCCACTCCCTCCGCTCGTCCGACCTCCGCCACCGCCCCGACCTAGCCCTCGCGTTCTTCCGCTGGGCCGCCACCCAGAAGAAGTACCCCGGCCACAACCTCGACTCCTACGTCGCCCTGATCGACATCCTCTCCTGCTCCGACAATAAAGAAACCAGTCGGATCAAGGAACTCATCGCCGAGATCAGAGCCCGCGGGAATCTCCTCCCGGCGGCACCATCTGCAGCCACTTCTCTCATACGGAGCCTGGGGTCCACCGGCATGGTGGAGGAGTTGCTGTGGGTCTGGCGATGGATGAAGGAGAGTGGGGTCGAGCCGTCGCTCATGTGTTACAACTGTTTGTTGGATGGTCTGGTGAATTCGATGTTCGTGGATTCAGCGGAGAAGGTCCTTGAAGCGATGGAGGCGAACAGAGTTCGGCCTGATGTAGTTTCCTACAACACGCTAATCAAAGGTTACTCGAAAGTAGGAAGGAGGCAGAAAGCAGTTGATAGGTTTGTGGAGATGCAGGAGAAGAAGATCCAGCCAGATAAGATTACGTATCTAAGTCTGATGCAATGCCATTACTCGGATGGGGAATTCCATGAATGCTTGGTGCTGTACCATGAGATGGAAGAGAAGGGATTGGAGATTCCGACTCATGCATACAGTTTGGTGATCAGTGGATTGTGCAAGGAGGGGAAGCCATTCGAGGGAATGGCGGTGTTGGAAAGCATGGTTAGGAGAGGTTGCAAGGCTAGTGTGGCAAATTATACTGTTCTCATTGATTCTTTTGCAAAGAGCATGAATGAGGATCATGCTATGATGTTGTTTGAGAGGATGAAGAATGATGGACTTGAGCCAGACGAAGTCACTTATGGGGTGACAATTAACTGCTTGTGCAAGGCTGAGAAGCTGGACAAAGCCATGGAGTTGTTTAAATTCTGCAAAGAGAATGGTGTGCTGGTGAATGCAATCTTCTACTCTAGCCTTATAGATGGGTATGGGAAAGCTGGGTTAGTTGATGAGGCACAAGGGCTTTTCAATGAGATGATAGAACAAGGTTTTGTGCCAGATTCATACTGCTATAATGCCCTTATTGATGCATTTGGAAAAGCAGGAAGGATCAATGAAGCTTGTGCACTATTCAAGAGAATGGAGATGGAGGGCTGTGATCAGACAGTTTATACATACACTATACTCATGGATGGGTTGTTTAAGAAACACAAGAATGAGGAGGCACTGAAGCTGTGGAATATGATGATCGATAAGGGGATAACTCCCACCCCTGCAGCTTTCCGTGCCCTTTCAAAGGGCCTGTGCCTTTCAGGAAAGTTCACCAGGGCTTGTAAAATACTGGATGAACTGGCTCCTATGGGAATAGTGCCTGAGACGGCCCATGAGAATATGATCAATGTGTTGTGTAAAGCAGGGCGATTTGAGCAAGCTTGCCAACTCGCTGATGGAATCATAGGTAAAGGTCGTGAGGTGCCGGGAAGAGTTCGAACCATTATGATCAATGCTCTGAGAAAAGCTGGAAATGCTGACTTGGCTTTCAAATTGGTTCACAGTAACATTGGTATTGGTTATGACAGATATGGCAGCATTAAAAGGAGAGTTAAGTTCCAGACTCTGTTGAATTCATAGTCATCCACGGTTATTGGATGTTTGAGTGGCAAACTGCAAGTCCGATTTAAATCTTGAATCCTTTTTGTTAAGCTAAATCATACCCTGTCCAAGACCCAAAGTAGGGGAGAGGGGTTAATTGGACTGACTTTTTGGATGAACCATATCGTGAGGGTAAGATGTTCAAGTCACATGAAATCAGCATCTGATATGGGCTTGCGTCTAGATTTCATTTCTATTTGAGAATGATAGGTGCATTAAGGAGATCTTATCATGATATAACTTGAAATGGGCATACTTAGAGCCTGTAAATCGGTTGTATTATTTAGGGAGAGTTATAATAGCATTTCAATAAAATTGGAAACCGTGCAAGCAACTTGGGCATCAAGGTTCAGGTCACAAAACAATTTCTTTGCATGCAACAGCAGGGTCTGCAGATATAGCTTCCCTAGACCCCCACATTTCCAGGAGCCTGATACACCAGGCTGCTATGCCTGATACACCAGGCATCCATGGTGACAGGCAGGCCATTAGCTAGTTTGAGCTGTGTGGTAATATGTGTTTCTTGGTGGGTTCAATCTAATGATCACTTTCTTCGATCACTACCTGGCAACTTATGAATATATGAGATGGTCAGGAGGATTTCTAGTGAAAAACTTGCTAGTCGGCACGTATGACATCAAGCAATACTTGCTTGGATTCTCGGAATCGTGCTGTTAATATAGAAACTATACAGTTCAAAACTGCACAAAATCTGGGCTGTTGAACTGCTAAAGCTTAGCACAGGATTCATTCAATGAAAAGGATGTGTAGCAAACTGGAAATTTTTCTACAGTATCAAAAACTTCAAATCATGGTAACAGATTAAAGATCTATGGTTCTTGGTTAATGCTGAACTAAGTAAACTCGATTGTTATGCTTCTCACTTTCTTGTCACAAAAGGAATGCCATCTTTCAGCCCCTTATTTGTTTAGTAATCATTTAATTTATATCTCAAGGTCTGTTCTCCCTCTTGTAGCTCAATTATCAGCATTTGCAGGGAGACGTATTCATCTGTTTCTACAGAGGATAAATTCTTTTGTTTGAAATACATCTATAGATTCCAAGATTCTAATTATTGCAATCAAGTACCTCATTCTTGTATCTTTTTCCAAAATTCAAGTCATTCTTGTAGTTGTTTGGACTTTGCAATTTGCATATTGTGTAAATTCATTTGTACTTTTGGATGAAACCAAGGTTTGTTGTGCAGCCCGAGTCGATACGGTATGGGCGGTACATACCGGTTAGACTCATCACGGGGACACGGCTTGCTCGGGTCTCTATCGACACGCCTCGATATACCATGTGTCAGTATACTGGTACAGATCGATGCATACCGTGTTGACAAATCTTCGAGACGGGTTCGGTACCCGAAATAGTGAAACCTAGATGAAACATTTATGTGTTTTTTCTCAATAAGTTCATTAGAAATAAAAAAAGATGCTCATTTTCTGTAAGATGTGTAATCCTTGGAATATCTTGCTGTATCCGTATCGGATTCGTTATATTCATTAACTAGGATGTGTTAGATACTTCCACGAAGTATCTGACGTTTTTAATAATTTTTTAAAATACAGGACAGTTTTAACATATTCCTAAAGAATACTTTTGTGGATACTTATTGGGAGAGTTCTTTTTGTTTTTTTGTTTTTCTCCTTTTTGATTGTTGATCTTTTGTTTCTAGACTAGGTGTATATGTTGGATTTATTTTCATCCATTTTTTAAATCTGAATGATGTATATTAACATGTTTTGTGTATTTCAGCATCTCTAAGACTTGACTTTCTAATGACGTTGGTGTGGCATAGAACTAGCTTTATGAGGATGCTGCTTATCCATAACACTTTAAGAACCTACCAGCTGAAATAGGGAGTTCTACCTTAATACTGTTTTTGTAAAAAAAGCAGTGGAACCTTGGATGATCATCTCAATAGCTTCATATTAACTGTATGATAAAATGCTTTTAGGATCTGTATTGTAAAAAAGATGGATTTTGGTCAAATGAGATTCAGGGAATTGTGCTGATATAAATATTATGCATTGTCTTGTTATCTTGTGTTCTGGTAATTTTTGTGCTGCCTAGGAATCCCAATTCTTCAGTCTGCAAATGTTTGCTTATTGTGGCACTTTTTTGTTTTTTGAAATCTAATTGGATCATGCTTAATCCTAGGAGCCTCTGCATCAGCGATCATTGAGAAAGCATACAACAGGTTATCATTAGTAATGGCTGTTTAGTGTTTGCTGCACAATGCTTTTTTAATATTGCCAGTCCACCATTGATTGACAAACTTTAAGTCCTAAGCTACAAAGCATCACAAGAGAATTCTTGTTGCTGGTTGAAGTTGAAATTTAATACAAAGCATCGCAAGAGAATTCTTGTTGCTGGTTGAAGTTGAAATTTAATTTGTTCATTGAATTTAGTAAATAATCAATCAGGATGAAGACAAATATCCCTAATAAAACAAAACAAATTTTAGCTATAAGCCCAACAGTCCTTACCGTATAAATTAATAACAGGACTTCTCTTGTTAGAGCCTGATCTTTTAATGTTAGATTAAGGATAAACACCTTATTTCTATTTTGTACATTAGGATTGAATCCTGCAGAATAAATAAATGTTTTCAACTGTGAAACCTAAACCAACTAATTTAAGCAGTCACTTTTGGATGGCAAGAGAAAGAACATAACATTGTTTGTGATTGTAGTGTCTTAATGTGCATGCAAGATGATGAGGAAGAATCATATTGGAGACATTTAACATTGTCAAGTTATCAATATGGAAAATGAAGCCAGATTAGCTCTGAATATTAATGTCTTAAGACTGCATTAACAGGCAAAGTTAAGTTGGCGAGCTCTGAACTGATGGTGAAAGAACTGGAGCAACATAAAATAACCAGTAATGCAAGACTGTATCCAAATAAAGCACAAGTCCAGTTCTTTGTTATAGTTTAACTAGGTTTCCTTATTTTGATTCCCTATATAGGCTATATTTGCTTGATTTCCTCCAGAGCAACCATCATCAAAGTTGAGGGAATACCCAAGTGGATCATATTGAAGCTTGATCCTTCTTTTACTAATCACTTTCCTAATCCTTGCTCTTATTTTCCAAAAGAAACTTCTTGGTTGCTTCATACTGCAATGACTGACACATGCTACCCTTCTTGCCCAATTCATATCTGATGCTTGATTGATTTGCTAGGCTGCTGCCTGTTGACAACAATGAATGAAAGACTTCCAATTTTGGGACTTGGGTGGACTTCTATGAACTATTTCTGCTTGATGTTTTTCCAAATGATGCTTGCTGGTACACCTTTTAATTTAAATATCTTCAGTACTGCCAACACTTTTACAAATTGATTCTACTTCCATTGACCACACCTACTATTTTATCAGGTAAAAAGCAGTTGGTTTGACCAGTACTGCCTATTATTTTGTGAGATGCCAGAAGTTCATGGAGTCTCGGACACTGCAAAAATGGAAAGAAAAACTCAAGATTTTGGACTTGAAGATTGAATTGAAGTAAATGAAAGATTAGGAACACTTGCTTACCAGATTGACAGGAAAAGAGCTTTCGTGACTTTACACAGAGTCCCATCCAGCCACTGGGATTGTCTATTTTTCCAGTTGTGAAGCGTCCATGAGCTCAGTATGTGTTTCTTGGATCATTTATAGAACAACAGCCTTGGCTCGCTTTCTTGCGGGAATGAAAATGTGGATATGATTCCATTAGCACTCAAACAAGCAGAAGTCCAAAAGGAATAGCTGAAGTTTCAGTATATGTTTTGAGCCTGTGACATCTGAAAGGACACTTTAGAAAATTTGTTTTTATCAATTTGGTGCAGACATAGGGAAATGACCCACCAAATGTTGTTCATTAGTCAATTTGTCTTGGTGATGGTTGCTCGGCAAACTTTGCTGCTGCCGTAGCATGAGACCTGTGATCATGAGTGGATTCTCTTTTCATGTTGCATCAAATCATAAACTTTGTCTCCTTTTCCATTCCTTGGCTCCTCCCTCGGCTCCAGGCAGCAAGATAAAGAGAAAATAATATCCTTATCAGAGAAGGTAGGCAAAAGAAGCTTTTGAAGATGTGCCTAGATTCCCATTGCTACAGTATCTACTCTTCAGTGCAGATGTTGCATGTCTTAGCCTCTTGGTGCTATATGGCCTGAGGATAGAATGCTCTGACTACCTGGTGGTAGGATATGTCATGTCATGTCTTCCAAGCTTTTTCCAGCCTGCATGAATTGTACTTGCTTGGCATTCCTAGTTGACTGGTCTGTTAGTGTTCGTGATGTGGTTTAATTTTCATGTGTTTGTTGTACTTATTGGGGAACTATACATCTGAGAAACAGGTCATCGTGCCAGAAATTTGGATTCGACTGCACAATTTGTCACAGAAAAGCTGCAAGCAAGCAAGTACTGGTTGTAAGGATTTGTTTCTTCTGAGGATTTGTTGTATTTTGAGCAAGCAAAGTACAGTTGTTGTTTATAACAGCCCAGCCGCAATTCCTGTGGAACGAAAAGGGGGCCCTTTCCAGCTTATTTCATGAACATGGTATGGTATGCATATGATGTGGCCTCATGTATTTTGCTACGTGCTCTTGTAGAAAATGTGAATACCATCGATAAGATAAAATGTGTTTCTATTTGATATCCTTTACTATATTTTTTTTCCAAATATTCTAAATCATTTTTTGAAACACATTTTGCTTTAATCTTTACATTTAAGGGTATATGGTAACTGCAGTTCACACTGTTGATGTGAAAAATGTGTTGAAGTCATATGTATTGCCAATGATTTCTTCATAATATCCAAAATATAAAAGAAATCCATGTTCATTATTGCTTCAGAATATGCAAAAGACAAAAAAGTATTTTCTTCAAGATGCTGCAAACGAAACCACACAAATTCTATGTTTTGTCAGTTCAAAATATGAGTGAGTATTAGAATAAAATAATTAGATTTTGTGATATCCTAGAAGTAAATAACATTTTATGTATGTTGGATAATATTTGCTGTACAATGTAATTGTAATCGACACAATTGATCACTAGCATTGAACGCTCAGCCCACCTCACCTCCCAACCATAAATAATGCCTTCATCTTCGTTCTGCACCGTGCTGTAGACATCTTTGGTTGCAGGGAATTGGTCTTTTATAAGGTCTTTATTTAATTAATTAATAATAAATGAATTTGTTAGTCATATGATTGGCTTGCTAATGTATATTATTTACTAATAATATTATCCTAATTAATGAGAGTTTAAGTAAATTTAATTATAAATAAGTCTTACAAATTAAAGGTCTTAGATTAAGTAAACTAAAATTGAATATATAAAATATAATCTTAGTGATTTTAGAAATAGGTAAAATAATATGCGGATAAAAAGTTTTTTTAAGTAAAAATTTTAGGTATCTTGAATCCTAACCTCTCCTATGCTGACAATTAGCTCAAGAGCTTTCGATTATGCCCAAAGTGGATATGCATTGATTTGTCCAACGTTAGGCATGCAATGGTCTCCTGGTCTCTTTTCCTTCTCTTAGGCGTCTTCGTCCCTATCACCTCCCACTTCATCCTCTCCTATGCCCCCATCTACTGTGCCTACGATGTTGTGGTCCAACTCTCCCTCACCTTCGCCTTCGGCCTCTCATACCTTTACCTCTTCGCCTTCGTCCGTCACTACGGCCTCCATCGCTTCCTCTTCCTCAATAAGTTGGTTGGGGAGAGCGAGTGGGTGCATGAGAGCTATATGGACGAACTCAACCGCCTATTATGCCTACTCTCCATCTTCGTGATGTCATACTTTATGGAGGAGATGACTTACAAGGTATGGTAGTACTCGTTAGGATAGGAGTGTGTGTCGTTCGTGATGGTAGGCGACATCGTGGTGGGCAATGTGGTGGAATGTGCCTTGGAGCTAATGAGTTGTATCTATCGGATGTCACTCGCCAGCTCCAGGGTGCATGCCACCACGTCGCCCACCATGGCATTGCCTGTCATCGCAAATGACACTAGTTCTGATCCTGATGAGTATTACCATACCTTGTAAGCCACCTCCCCAACGAAGAGATAGAGGTAGGAGAGGACGAGGGTAGAGGTGAGGGAGAGTTGAACCACAACGTCGTAGGCGTGATGGGTGAGGGCACAAGAGACTACTGCGTGTCTTACATTGGAATAGTCGACGTACATCCACCTAAGGTAGGATTGAAAGCTCATGAGCTCATTATCATCATGAGAGAGGTTGTGTATGTACGATGCCATGTTAGATAGCAACGAGTCGGTACTACTATTGGTGGTCGCTTCCATAATGACGCCTCCTCTCGTCATCAATTGTGATCTTAATTTTTTTAATTTAAATTATATGTATCATTATATTAATACTTTATTATGAATGAATATGTAGCGTAAGTAGATTCTAACCTCTATTAAAATGAGAGAAGTTTATATTCTATATTTTTAAAAATATAAAATTATTTTAAATATAATAAATTATAAAAATTTAAGAAATCTATAACCAAAATTATAAGGATTAAAATAGACCTTAAACAAATTATTAGAAGATTCCAAGTTTGTCGATGAAGCTGAGGATAAAATAATTTCATGATGAGGCGGTTGTAATAAAGAAATAATTGCCTCGGCCACAAAGGCAAGAGAATACGTGTGTTTTGCCGCCTCAAAAGCAGAGTAAATGACGTCAAGGGCGGTTGGTTTGGCGAAGCCACCTCTGTTTCTTGCCGTTTACCACCTGGAGAAGCTCGTCGCGTCTCTCTCTCGTCCTTGTCCTGACCCCTCATTCCTCCGGAACACCTGCTCAGCTTACTCTTTGGAGAAGAAGAAGGAAGAAGGGGAGAGAGAGAGGGAAGAAGAAGGGACGAGAAGAAGAAGAAGAAGAAGAAGGAGAGAGAGAGAGAGAGAGAGAGAGGAACAAGCAGCAGCAGTTTTCTCATGGCAGGACGCAGGTACGAGGCCAACCCCTTCGACGAGGAGCACGTCAATCCCTTCTCGGTGAGCCTGCATCAAACAACAAACCCTTCTTCTTCTTCAGAATCAGATCATCGATGTGAACGCATACAAACTGCAAGACAAAGAAACCTAGCTTAGATGCCACTGTGGTGGTTCAAAGCATGACAATGCTTCGAATGTCACTTGTTCTTTGGATTGGATTCCATTAAGGCTTTCAATTGCACCTTGGACAACTCTAACATGCCCCTTTAACTTACATTTGTGTGTTTGAGTCTCTTTGGTGAAGTAATATTGCAGTTTGAGGTTCAATGGATTTACTGCAGGCCATAAATTAAGTACACAAAATTGATTCCTTTTAAGCATATCTCCTTAGGACTGCCCATCATACAAAGATTTGGATTGGATGACCAATAACCTCAAAAGCTGAAGCTCTTAGGAATGTATGTAATATATATTAGGTTCTAACATTCCCTCTCATGTGTAAGTTGAAGTAGAATGACCCAAACCCTGAAGGATCGGGACATTTCACAAGAAAAGTTTTCGGGATTTGTAAATGCTTATGAATAGGCATAAACCAGATGCTCACGTTGCATTTGGTGGTGATTTCTTATGTGTATATGAATGCTCTGCAGCAGCAACCCGGAAGAGTTTCTCCTAATCTTGGGATTTCAGCTCATCCTCCACACCAAGCTGGTTTTTACGGCTATCGCGGTCCAACAATTGATATCCCTCCTGATACAGCAAAGGTACGTTTGAGGAACTCAACATGCTGCTGCTCATTTACAGAGTTAACAGGACTTCACATTGAATGTACAGGAAGAAGCATGCCAAATTTTATAGATGTGTATGCAGGCTGACAAATATTAGGGAATTGATACTGGTATTTATCTATCGACTTATAATTTCCTTGTCAGGATGTGAAGAGGAAGGAAGCAGAGTTAGAGATCAGAGAGGCAGAACTGAAGAAGAGGGAACAGGTATCTTTGGATATAGTGTTTTGAAATAGGAAGAGAGCAGTGATCATATGATGCGCTATAGCTGCTTACATAAATATGACTATCATGTACACAAGAAATCAATTCAAATGTCAATAGAAAACATGGCTGATGTGTTTAGTGATGAGTTTATTTGGAACCTTTGTATATTCTCGTGTGATGTGAAGTCATTTCTTGGGAGCTCAAGTCTAAATCCTCAATCTCTTTGTCTGTCTTTAGCTCTTTCAATATGGAATTGGCATTCCTGCGGAGTGAATGATTTATAGGTTGACAATAACATCTAACTGGATCATAAAACATGTTGGCAATAGTTAAGAAATATTTTTCCCTCTATAAATAGCTTATATTAAGGAAAAAAATAAAGGTCCGTTGACATTAAAGACTAGGTAAAACGCAAAGGATAGAATCTTCTGTCTTTATGAACTTTGTCTAACAAGCATTAGTGATATGTTTGTCTATATTCTTTGATTTAATTAAATGAAAAATCATATTCTACTTGATAAACTTCTAGAAGATTTTGATTAGCTGATTCACGAGATAGAAAAGCTAAATTTACATGTTGTTTTGTCTGTTCTTCCTCCTCTGCTCTGTCAAAAATATTTAGGATATTTAACCATCATTTTATGTTGAAATGCTCCATAGGCATTAAGACAAAGGGAAGAAGCTGCAGCAAGGGGTACTATTTTGTGAATTTTCAGAACAGTTTGCTGCATGAATTGACTGTTTCACCAACCTTTTTATATTGAAATTGATTTAGTTTGTTTTATGTCTTTTTTGCAGCTGGAATTGTTTCAGAGGATAGAAACTGGCCCCCATGTTGCCCTATTATTCACCATGACATTGCCAATGAAATTCCCATACAATTGCAGAGGATGCAGTATATTGCCTTTGCATCACTTTTGGGTTTGTGTTATCCGGTTTTCTAATTCTTCATTTTTTTGGTGCTTGCTTCATGAAAAGTTTACTTTTCGATACATTGCACTTCTTGGCACCAGAAAATTTCAGCTCAATGTCATGGATGCATGAATACTGACTTGACATCTTCTAGTTGTTTGACTTGGATAGTTAGTATCCATGTACTTCAGATTTCCACCTTACATGTTATCCATGGTAGATCATCTCTAATTCTTTGTCCCCATATTTGTGTTGAAATATGAAGTTACCTGAAAAAATAAGTTCCATTATCACTTTTCTGATTGGGCATAAATAGTTTTATTGTTGGCTTGTTAAGAAGCTCATTGAGTTCCTGAATTTGGTTCTGCTTTCAGACCATAATATCTTCCTCTTATCTATCACGTACTCTCCCGAGTCATGTTCTTTTCATGCCTAATATGTAGATGATTTAGATAAGTTAATATACACTCATAAGTTGACAGCTTTGTGTCCAAGAAATATAATCAGAATCATACACTAGAACCTTATTTGCTTTTGTGGCATGTTTCAAATTATTGTCATAAAGAGGGAGTTCCAAGAAGCAAGTTGAGATCACTACTAATGCAAATACTTATAGTGAACTTTCAGTTTATAAATTTTGTAGATTTTATGAAAGACGAAAAGAAATTATGTGCCTGTCATATATGTGCCAATCATTTGTCAGCAAAATCAGTATTGGAGGAATGCTAGCCAATCATTTATGTGCCTGTCATATATCATGTGGTATTGACAATTCATAATACAGAGTTTGTTTGACATAACTAGTCCCACTGCCCTTTCACGATTTACTTTTTCCATGACTCTGCCCATAGAGTATGTTTTCTTGGTTGCATTATACAATATTTCAAACAGTGACAAAAATCAGTTGTGACATCAAGCTGAACTTTTTTTTTTCCCTGTAAAAGAAGATACATCAAGAACATTATCCTGCATTTTCTACAGTAAAGGAAGTTAAGTTTATTAGGCAAGCATATTTATGACTTCCTGATTTGAAATTTATCATTTTGGTTGCTGTGTAGGATTAACATTATGTCTTTCATGGAATGTAATATCCACACTGGCGGCTTGGATTAAAGGCGAAGGTCAGTTTGACAAGTTTAAGCATGATCACTCTAGGATCCGCCCCTGTATAAGGTCACCATTTGCAGCATGGGACAAATAAGAGATTAATATTAATCGATTTCTCTTGTAGGTATAAAGATCTGGTTCCTAGCTGTTATCTACCTCACTACTGGTGTCCCAGGAGCTTATCTGTTATGGTATCGTCCTCTCTATCGTGCAATGAGGTATGAACATATCTTTTCATGAGCTAAAATCTGAGTGCTGTAATTTATATGTTGTACGCTACTGATTATATTACTGATGTGCTGAAATTGTTGTATGATCGCTGTCTAACATATTTTAGGACTGATAGTGCTCTGAGCTTTGGATGGTTCTTCATATTTTACTTGGTATGCAAGCTTACTTCAACAATCTTTTCATATATATGTAGTGTTATTGCGAATCTAAAGTGTATGGAAGAACACACTTAATGGTTTATCTGTGCAGGTTCACATAGCTTTTTGTGTCTACTCTGCGGTTGCTCCTCCTTTCCCTTTCAAAGGAAAATCTTTGACGTAAGATCCTTATAATGTCCATCAACTAGAATTAAATTCTAGAAATATGTGATGTTCCAGAAAAAAAGATAAAAGAGCTAGCTTATCTTTTACTTCGAGTTATATATATATATATATATATATATATATATATATTCTTCACAGTATATGGTAGTTATTGATCTGTATTTTCTAGGCTTTGATAATGCTGGGATGTTTAATAGCACAGTTTTATTTCAAAAGTATCACAAATTAAAATTTTGCTGATGTTCAATTTTTTTCATCTGTGGCACAGTGGCATCCTTGCAGCAGTGGATGTTGTTGGAGATGCTGTTGTGGTTGGGGTAATTTTATACTTACTTCATTGCATGTTATTCCATTATATACTAGGAAAATATGTATACAGATAACCTTCAATTATTTTTGTGCATTGTTTCGAAATTTTAAAATATTGACCATTCCCAATATATTTGCCAAAGGGAAGTTGTTGTAGTTTGGTTTCACAAAAAGATGTGACAGTCGTAAATTTTGCACAAAGTTGAGGGGGGATTGGTTTTTTGTGCACCGTCTCGAAAATTCAAAAAATTGATCTTTCCTAATATATTTGTCCAAGGAAAATCATACGAGCGGAGTTTCAGAAGAAAACATGATTGTCATAAAGTTTGCGCAATGTTGACGTTCGTTCGGTTTTTTGCGCACCGTCTCAAAAATTCAAAAAATTGATCAATCCTAACATATTTGCCCTAGGGTACTCATACAAGCATAGTTTCGGGAAAAAAAAACGTGAGAGTCATAAACTTTGCGAAAAGTCGAGGTTTGATTGGTTTTTTACGCGGTATCTCGAAAATTCAAAATATTGATCATTCCCAACATATTAGCTCTAGGGAAATTATTTAAGCTTGGTTTTGCAAAAAAATGTGACGGTAATAAAGTTTGATGTTCGATAAATTAGCTCTAGGGAAGTTATTTAACAAAGTCGATGTTCGATAAATGCGAAAAGCTTGGTTTTTGCTTGCCCGCATGTTAAAGAGCTACCAATCAGATGTTATACATGTAGAAGTTTATAATAAGACTTAAGTGGTTTTCAAGACTACAAATGAAAATTTCTGGTTCTTATAGTGATTAAGCACATGTTAGAATTTTTATCATAGTTCAAATATAAGTTCTTTAGACTTTGTCCTATTTTTATCTTGCCTGAACCTATACATACTAACTCAGTTCCTTTTGCATGCAGATCTTCTACTTCATTGGGTTTGGTTTCTTCTGTATTGAGGCACTCATCAGCCTTTGGGTCATTCAGGTCATTGTCTGTATCCCACTGCTGACTGCAATTTGCAATTCTATATTTAGAAATCAGTAGAACTTCAATGTGTTATCTGTCAAATAAAATTTGCAAAAGTATAGTAACATTTTATTATTTTCAATAAGATTAAGAAGGTTGATTTTTCAGAAAAAAAAATCCCTCTGCTAAATTGTTGACCGAGGTTATTTTCATCATATCATACACAACAGGATTAGTGAGAAGGGGTTTATTTACAATACCAGTGCCATTCGCCTACTCATTCTTCATAGCTAGAAAAGCTTGTGTGTAATCGATACACAAGTTATGACCCCTTTCGTCATTTTCGATCCATACTTTGAGCTTCTGAATCAAAATCCTCTGATGTTGTGTGCTTCTCAATCAACTAAAAGAGAAAAAAAGTTGAAAGAAAAATCCTCCATGCACCTTATCAGGAATTTCTGTGTTCACCATGCATATTAGCATCAATGTGATGTTTCAGCCATTCTCCTGTGGTGATCTAATTTTTGTTTACCTGTGACCGTTGCTCTGCTGGCATGATACAGCATGACAGACATGATTTGGCAATATGGGGTATATGCAGTCTTTACAAATGACAACTACACAAAATGATGTGTTGGAAGTCCATTACCAACATTGATATTGTGCCAATATCATGTTGAAATGATGTAAACTGCAAAAATTTCTTGAAACTCTCTGAAAATTCAAGAGGTTTCGTCCGTTGAAAATAATTGAACTGTTTTGTTACAGCAAGCATACATGTATTTCAGAGGAAGTGGAAAAGCTGTGGAGAGGCACGACACTGAACATGGTTCGACCAGGTGAAAGCGTCAGAGGTTGGCAGCTGAATAATAGTATATCTAGTTTAATTGGAGTAGATAGTTCTAAACATCTGCTTCATTCATGCTCTTCTTTCCACTTTAGCATGGTTAAGCATTGGAGACAATGATCTGCGGAGCTGTAGACTGTTGTTGACTGCTGTATAATTCCACTAGAGAAGTATTCAGAGTTTGCTTAAACTACTTTTTTGGTGATACTTTCAATGAAAATAATAAAATGTTTGTGTGCCTGATTGAGCAAACATCTTAAAGCTTCTGATGGTTTGGAATGCAAAATCCGTGCTTAAAAGTTTGATCAATCTGATGGTTTTTGACATGCAAAAAGTGTCCAGAGTTTGCTTAAACTACTTTTGTGATATCTTCAATGGAAGAATAAACGTTTGTGTGTTTAATTGACCAAACAACACCTAAAAACATCTTATATTTGGACCAATCTGATATTTTGGAATTCAAATTCCACTGAAGAGGTGTTCAGAGTTTGCTTAAAACTACTTCTATGATGCCTTCAATGGTAAAAATAAATGGTTTGTGTGATTGATTGAACCAACAACATCTTGAAACTCGAGATATTTTGGAATGCAAAATCTGGACTTAAAACAAGTATTGCGGCAAATAATCTTCAATAGCAGAAAGTTTTTCTATACTAATCTTTGTAGCATAAACTACTGTTGATTAGACATTGATTGTATAAATCTCTATAGCAATTATCTATATATTTCAGAAACAATAATATTTATCTCTCTCTCTCTCTCTCTCTCTCTCTCTCTCTCTCTCTCTCTCTCTCTCTCTCTCTAAATCTCATTATAAATTGACATTTTTTGTTGTCTTTTTTCCTGAAAAAACCTAGTAATTTTTAGCAAAATCCAGACCTAAAGTTTGACCAATCTGATATCCTTTTGACTGGAATTTCCATTGGAGAAAGTGTTTAAAGTTTGCTTCAACTACTTTTGTGATACTTTCAATGGGAAAATAAATGATTTATTTGCTTGATTGACCAAACAGCACATTCAAGCTTCTGATATTTTGGATTGCAAAATCCAGGCTTAAACAATTATTGCAGCAATTAACATAATCTTAATAGCATAAAGTTATTTGTGAATTAGGGATTAGAAGTATAAATATTATAGCAATTAGTATAATGTTAATCTATATATTCAAAAACCACAATGTGTAGCTTTTTTCTCTCTCATATTTTAAATTTATATTTTTCTCTCTTTTTTTTCTGAAAACTAATTAATTTTAATAAAATTCAAAAAATTTAGTCACGCATGATCTTTGGATAATATGATTAAAGAAAGTTGACTTTCAAGCAAATATCAACATTATAATGTTAGAATTTGTAGATGTAATTTTTTTTTATTCTCTCTCTTAATATAAATATTTTTATTAAATTATTTTTATTATTTTATTTATAAAGGGTAAGTGAAGAAGATGATATTCGAAAAACTATCTCCTTAAATCCATTAAAGGTTCATTAAAAAATATTATTGTCATTATTATTCCATATGATACGTAATGCAATTGGGCTAAGGCCCATTAAAGGCCCTCATAAAACCATGTCCTTAAACCCTATCGAATCGAGACGGAGACAAAACCCTAAGCTCACTGATGGAAGAACCAAGTAGAAACCCTAGCTCGCACCAAGACGGCCGCGCCTATGGCCCTCCCTCGCAATCCCTTATCGCCAATTCCTCGATGGAAGCGCTTGTCGAAGCTAGTATACGTGAACCAGATGGCTCCGAGCTGAAACGCGCGAGAGGGGATGAGCCCATCTCGTTTTGTCCGAGTTCGGATGCTTTCAAGTCGGATAGCTTCGAATTGGGTTGTACCGTAGATTGTAAGATGGAAAAAGTTAGCTTGATAGGGTGTTCTGATCATCTATTGTCCGATCCTAGTGCCCCAGTGGCGGATGGCGAGGGAGGGAGAAAGGAATTTGGGGACGGCGTTACTAACGGTGATTCTGAGAGAGAGGAATTATCGAGCGAAGAGTCCGACTCTTCTTCTTCTACCAGCAGCGAAGAGGAGGAAGAGGAAGATGGTAATTCCGACGGTGACGGTGGGCAGGGGCCAGAGGAGGTCCTTGCCGGAAGCGTTGATGAAGAACAGGTTGTGAGAGGCCCCATCAAGTCAAAAAACGAACTTGAGGTTGAAAATCGTATCTTACACCTCCGATATCAGTAACGATGTGATAAAGTTTGCTTGTATTTGATCTTGGATACTGTTCGTTGATCTGTGTTCTATGTTTTTTTTTTTGTGTGTGTGCTTGTTTAGGGTTTTAATAATATAGGACACTTTATTATACTGTGGAATACAAGATTGAATACTTGCTGAAGAAGTTACCATGCAGGTTCTTCCTTCAGTCCCTCGAGTGGAAATCACCTTGAAGCCCCATCACCACACAATTCCTGTGGGGATGATTTCATCTGTGAGTTGTGTAAATCTTGTATTTCTATTATTGCTGTTCATCTGGTTTTTTCCTCCCTTTCTTGTTTTATAAGACCTGGTTATGTATTTTATGGATTAGATCAGTCAGGTTTTTCCTTTTATAAAAAAACCTGATGAAGTGTTTTACACATTGGATTGGTATTTTGTTTCATAATTACAATTGTTGCTACAATGAGAAAATGAAATATTTCAGACCGAGAGAGGTATGACTTCTCGATGAAGATTTATACAGATCGTGAGACTCTGATCTCTTTGGTTGATTTAATCAAGTTCTTGATTTTTTATTATCAACAAGTCTCAGTTGATTATAGATACACTAATATATATGAACAAACTAGTTGACTTGGAAGCTACAGCATCAATTGTCATGGTGATAATATAAGGGAACATTAAAAGTTCAATTTTCAAGTCTATACTGAACCTGTTCCTCTTTTATGAGCATTAAACAATACCCTCATTTATTTATTGCATGTGTCTTGGATTGATGTTTCTAGACCAAAAGATTCACTTTCTTTTGCTTCATATATCATGTGTTGATCATGTTTTGTGCAAATCAAAGTTGATTTGAGTTCTGTATGTTCAGATTTACATGTTTTAGACCAACAGCATGTTTTTGTTAACTCTCTTCCTCAGGTTTTGGGCAATAGAGTCATTGTTGAAGGTTCAGTGAATCACAATCCTTTAAATGAGGGCTCTATTCTTTGGATAACAGAAACCAGGACACTGCTGGGGATAATAGATGAGATATTTGGGCCTGTAAAGAAACCTTACTATGTTGTCAGGTACAATTCTGAAAATGATGTTCCAACTGGGATCACTGATGGCACTGCTGTCTCGTTTGTCATTGAATTTGCGAAGTATGTCCTCGATAAGAACATCTGTAATAAAGGATATGATGCATCTGGTGAGAATGACGAGGAGATCACCAACGAGGTGGAATTCTCTGATGATGAAAAGGAAGTAGAATACAGGAGATCTATGCGGCAGACAAAAAGAGGGCCTGATGATAGGAAACATGTGAAACTCAAAAACGACACTCGAAAGAAGAAAACTAATTTTAAGGGTGCCAGGGTGCAGAAGGGCATGGTTTCACCTATTCCTGATGATTTGGAAGCTCCGAAGCAACCAATCCCCGGTGTACGCAGTCCTTTTTTGGCACCTTCCAGGGCTTGTAAGTCTGATTTTGGCAAATTGTCTTATTTACAATCAGCATATACTTGTGAAAATGCTTCACCAATGTTACCTAGTATTGCACAAGCAGACACCTTTGTTGTCACCAGTCCATCACATCAATTGACACAGCAGCCAAATCCTTCTCTGGGCCATGGAGTGTCATATCTGCAGCAACCAAATGCTTTCTTGGCTTGTGGGATGCCTATGCCTTTCCAGCAACAGCAAAATGCTTTTTGGCCACTTGCGACTCCAACACAGCAGCAAATGAATGCTATTGTCACACATGGAATGTCGCTTCAGCAGCAGCAGGTTGCTGCTATGGCAGGATTCCAGATGAATTGCTTACCAAGCCAGCAGCTGGGAACTGGAGCTTATCTTCGCCAGCATCAAATTCAGGGCTTTAGTGATAATTCAAATAGGATGCCATCCCAACAGCAAATTTTCCCGATGTTGGGTATACCATGGATAGGAGGATCATTAAATTTTTCTAGCGGTCTCATGCCTCCTGTGCCAGTGCCACAGGCTGGTCAAGCATCTTTGGTGCATACCGAGCAAGGAGTTTCTGATCAGTTGTTCCCAGCCACTGACCAAGGTGGGATGCTGTTTAACCCCGGGAGTTCGTCCATTCACGGAAGAATGCCTCTCCAAAGAGGAGGTCGGCATTCATTCAGGCAAAGCATGCGAAGGTGAAGAGGTTGTTTTATTTTGTTTTTGCAAGTTTTGTGTTTTCCTAGAAGGTTTTGTACTATATCAGATACATATAACACGTTACAAGAACCCTTTTTTCTTTTCCTCATCCACCTGTAACCAGAAATGAAATCTGAACTTGGAATGCTCTCAAGTCTAAATTCAGTGAAACTTTTTGTTCACGTCTCCCCTAGTTCTCATTGCCGGGCTTCTTGATAGACATCTTCCTTTTGTTCTTTTAGATTTAATCCATAATTGGTACGCTAGTTGCTTTATCTGTACTTGTAATGAAGATACAGCATATTTTGCATGAATGTGACATGGTCAGATGGGAGTGGTTGATTAAGAGCTATTATTTCACCAGTATTTGTGTTCCTGGTGTTGCACTCTTTGTGATAGTTAATCTAAAGGTTATCATCTTGTTGTCCCAGAGCATGATCAGATATTTTAGAAGCTTGGGTGCCTGATTGAGGATTGAATTTGACAGGACTATGAACAGAGTTATTGATTGCCTCATGAATCACAGCTTGGTTGGAATGAATGTTGACTATGAGATCCAAATCAAGGTTTGCTATGATGGTATTTACTAGTCTGACAGTTTGGCGGTATACACCAGGTAAACTGATCGGTAAATCACTATGGTGTATACTTGCTCTGTATTGAATTTTTTTTCTTCTTTTTTAAGAACTTGGTATATACGGATATCGGTAAATCAAATTGTGTTTGATATTTTTTTAAAAAAAATTATATTTGATTTAAATGTTACAATGTAAATGCTCAAATATTGAATAGGATAGGATATTATTAGTATTTCAGTATTTATGAGATGTTAATATAATTTTTTAAATTCTTGGAGTTACCTTATGATATTATTTAAAATCATAAGATGTAACTGAGAAATCAACATGATTTATACCTTTTATAAGAAAATTTTAT